GGAGGAAGAAAGAACCCTCAAAACTCTTCCATTTGACTCATGTGAAAGCAACTGAACATTGAGCTCGTCATATTAAAAATAAAAAATAAAAATAACAATGTATTATAATTTAAAAAACTATTACAATAGAAAATTATAAATTTTATATATATGAATATATTAAAAATTAAGATTTCTAAAATCTTAATCAAAATTAGTTATATTATAAAATGCAGTGTATGACGTTTAAAATCAATGACAAGTTTTCTTTCGTTTAAGTCAAAATCCATCATATGTTTAAAATAATAGTAATAATTATTATCATAATAGTTAATTGTAATTTCATATAAACTAAAAAAACAGGACAATTTTGCTTTGATTTAGCCTAATGCAGTTTTTACGACTAATTAAATCATTGAAAACAACACTAACAACATTATGCTACATGTTTTTTTTCCTTTTTTTAAATAAACTTGTAAAATAAGTTAATGAACTTAAAATGTATTTTAGTAAATTAAATTTTAAACAAGTTATTAAGTATATATTTTACAAACATTACACTAATATTTAAACAACTTACAGCCTAGCACATTTAATTCATGGATCAATTTAATATATACAATAAGATATTTCATTAAGGCTTTGTTTGGTTGGAGTGATTTGAGGGAGTGGAAATGAGAGAGTGGAAAAGGAGGGATTTGAAGAGAAAAGGAGATGAATGAAAAGTGAAAGTAAAGTTTATGGGAAATTGTGAATGATTTGATTGATATGAGATATAAAAATTATAATTTTATGTTGATTATTTAAGAAAATTACCATTTTACCCTTTGTATAAAATAAGGTTCAAATGATTATAAATATAAATTTTTAATTAATTATCCATATTTTAACATTGATTATATATTTAAAAGGAAAAAACAAAATTAAAAGTGTTTGTAATTGGAAACAAATTTAAAAAATTAACTTTTTTTAGATAGTTATTAAAAATTATATAAATAAACAATTACAAAATTATGTACATTGCATATCCATATTCAAATAATGTTGACATATTAAATAAATTATTTGACTAATAATTAAATAATTATAAAATATAAAATAATAATTAATATTGACTGATAATAACAAATAATTATGAAAACTAATAATATAATTGTACATTATTATTTAAAACAAATATAAAATACAAGTGAAAATAGAATAATAATTAAGAAGTGATAAAGTGTAATGTTATTGATGTTAATTTTAACAATAATAGAATAATATTATTTTCGAAAATGCCCATATGAATGTGAATATTTTGATTATTATTATATAAAATAATTAAAAGAATAAGGTAAATAGAAAAGTAAAATGCATGGTTATACCACTTTCCTTTTAATCTATAATTAGTTAGGTATGAATCAAATGTAAAGTCTAATGTTATTGATGCTAATTTTAAGAAGATCACAAAATGTAAATTAAATAACTACAATATAAATTTCTACTTTGAAAATGAACAATATAATTAAACTCAAAATTGAGAATACTCTTATACATTTTTGAACTCTTTTGGATAAATTTTGTTTTCCTAATTTTTGATAAAGTTAATTTTAATATTTAAAAGTATTTAACATTTTGAATTCTGAAAGGTTTTCTCTAATAGCAAATTTAAAAACATAATATTCAAAAAAATATTTTAAGATTCAGTCTCGGGTTGCATTTCGCTCGAGCGACTATATCTCGCTCGAAGCGAAAACGATCCTGATCGATCATAATTTGAAATGATCGATCATAATTGGAGGATATAATAGCGGTTCCTCCGTAACCGCTATTTAAAGTATATATTAGATAGCGGTTATGGTTTAACCGCTATTATAAGTTATATTTCGCTGAGCGACATTAAACTCGCTCGAGCGAAAACACCTGCACATAATTTTCATCATCGGGTTGTCTTTCGCTTGAGCGAAACTGATCTCGCTCGAGCGACTAGCAAAGTATGATCTCGCTCGATTTATTTTAATCGATTAAAACACGCTTTAATCGATTAAAACCACTTTGGAAGTCAGGATGATCGATCAGAATGTAATTATGACCGATCAGAGTTGGTTATGATCGATCAGAATTGAATTATGAACGATCAGACTTATTTCAATCGATTAAAACAAATTTCAATCGATTAAAATGACTTGAAAATTTTTGTACAGAGTTTCAATCGATTAAAACGCATTTCAATCGATTAAAATGACTTAGAAAAAATTACGTGCGAGTTTTTAATCGATTAAAACTTTTTTGTATCAGCTTAAAATAACTTGAAAAGTGTTATAAGAAAGTTTTAAACTGAATCAATCGATTAAACCGCGAATCAATCGATTAAATCACTCTTAGAAAATGTTTGTAAAAAGTTTTAACTGATAAAAACTTGGTCGTATCGACTAAAACAATTCTGTTAAAGAACAAGAACGCATTAATGGGTTGAAAGGACTTTTAACAGATTATAACGGCTATTTCAACATATTAAAACAAACTTTGAACAGATTAATTAATGCAGCTTTTTCTGAAAACTCTTTTATAAACAGAATTGCTTGGAACTTTTATCATATCAGCTTTTAAAAAAACAAAGCAATAAATTTATTGGGTGAACCAAGTATAACAATTGCTTGGGTGTGACAAGTATAACAATTTATTGGGTGAACCAAGTATAACAATTTATTGGGTGAACCAAGTATAACAATTTATTGTTTCCCTAATTTTTGATAAAGTTAATTTTAATATTTAAATTTATTAGAGGTTAAGGTTTAACCTCTATTATAAGCTCCCTTTAAGAATGGTTCTTAAAGTGTTCCATCAACTCCCTGCTCGCTTCTCAATTCCTGATTGAATCGGTGCTGAGTCGGATTAAAGAAAGTAGAGTCGGATGTTATTGCCTTTGCCCCCACGCCAGCTTGCTCTCTAATCCCACTCGCGGATTGGATTGAACTGAAAAAGCGGAGCTTAGGTAGGCTACAGACAACTCTCAAAGCGTGAGCTCATAAGTCGCATTTCGCTCGAGCGACTATATCTCGCTCGAGCGAAATACGATCCTGATCGATCATAAGTTGAAATGATCGATCATAATTGTTGTATATGATAGCGGTTCCTCAGAATCGCTTATCTAAAGTGTATATTAGATAGCGGTTCCAGTGGAACCGCTATCATATACAACTATATTTTAATTTATTGAGGCTCGACTAGTTTTTCGCTTGAGCGACTATATCTCGCTCGATCGAAATATGATTCTGATCGATTAGATTTATGAAATGATCGATCATAATTGGAGGATATAATAGCGGTTCCTCAGTAATCAGTTATCTAAAGTGATATATAATAGCGGTTAAGATATAACCGCTATTAGAAGTGATATATAATAGCGGTTATGTTTTAACCGCTATTAGAAGTGATATATAATAGCGGTTAAGTTTTAACCGCTATTAGAAATGCTATTATAATAGCGGTTAAGATTTAACCGCTATCATATGGAAGAGGGTAACTTGGACTTTTCTTTATCTCCAGCAGACTTTCGTCGCTTTTCTTCGCAGATTAGCGAAGAAAGCTTCTCTCCCCTCTCACGCATTTCCTCGCCTGCATTTCTTCGCAAATCTGTTCAACCAAATGTGGGTGAATCTCGTGTTTCTGTCGTCGTGAACAGTATTTCATCGCAAATCAGTTCAAACAAACACACCGTAAGTCTATTTTCTTATAAAATAATATATAAACAAAGTTGGTTTGAACAAGACTCTCAAGGGGCTAGCCTGGCTAGCTTTATGTACCACGTTATAAAACAAATGAATGGTTTAGTCTAGTTTATATTTTAAAATATATCAAAATTTTTTGTCAAACTTCACCTTATTAAGCTACGAGGCTAATAGAAATTTTTTTAATTTAATTAAAAATATTTTTTTATATTTATATACTTTTTTTAATTTATAAAAATATGTTATTTATTTATTTAAAATTAACTCAAGTAAAATAAAATTAGATAAAATTAGAGATATAAAATCATAAAAATGAGTTGTTAAAGTCCTGTAGTCTTAAACGAGTTATATTTGTCCGTAGATAAGAATTCAAACATATTCTACCGTAAATATTAGATAATATGTTTATTAACTCTTTAAATACACGTCATAAACATTTGTAATTGAAGTGTTTATAGTAGTTTTTTAAATACATGTCATAAACCTTTATAATTGAAGCGTTTCTAATAATTAGGATTCAAAATTTTATTTATCTCCCAAATTCTCTCCTACTCAACATAGTTAGCGAGTGAGTCAAATTCATTATTTCAACAAGTTAGCCTTATTATTTAACATAACACCCACATCATAATGTTTTTAAAATGCATTATATTTAAGAATATATCATCTTAAATTATTGGTCCTTAAAAATAAATATAATTATAATAATAAAGAACAAGAAAATAATCAAAACAAATAGAGATTATATTTAAAATTTATTATTCTTTTTAATTTATATATATATACATAATAAAATATATTATTAAATTAATTTATTATACTTAATTTTTTAATAAAATAATATTACTTTTATTTTATTAGTAAAATAGTTATTATTTTATAAAATTATTAATTTATGAACATATGAATTAGTCTAACTTAAACCTCTTTAGGTATGATTAAAATAGGTCATGTCAAAATTTATTTAATTTTATTTAAATATAAATTTTTTGGTCTAGTTTGGTGGAACTAAACCTATTTTAAGATCATAATTTTCAATAGTTATTTCATTTCACTGTTTACTTACTTTGTAAAAGATTTTTATTTTATTTTTAATATCAAATTCAATTTTTTAATTTTATATAATTAATTTGTCAAACAGAAGAATACAATGGGTTCATTTAATGCGATAAATTATTAACGATATATCATATTTGGTCTGTTTTAACCTAGGTTTTCATAATTTGACTGATACTAAATTTGTAGGACCAACAAAAAAAAACACGGTTTTAACGAACAAAATTTTGGATCAAAGAATCAAAATTTTGAATGGAAGGGAGTATTGTGATGGAGGAGTCAGAAAAGCAGAGTTGCAAGCCACATTGCAGCGACGCATGGTTCGAATTGGAGATGGAGCTTCCCTCGGGAACTGAACCATTTCAGCTGGAGCAAGCGGTCTGCAGTCATGGCTTCTTCATGATGCCACCCAACCACTGGAATCCTCTCTCCAAAACCCTAACTCGTCCACTCCATATTCACAACCTTTCTTCTTCTTCTACCCTCCTCGTTTCCCTTTCCCAGCGCCCCCGATCTCTCGCTGTTAGGGTTCATGGCGTTCATTTCCTCTCTCCTCAACAACAGCGTCACATCACGGTACTCCACTCCCTGACTGGTCGCTTCTTCCAATTCGGGCTACTCATTCTTATTTCGCTTCTTCCGTTGCCGTTAGGCTCAGGTTTCCAGAATGCTGCGGTTGTCCGAAACGGAGGAAAAGGCTGTGAGGGAGTTCAAAAGCGTGCATTCTGATCATCCAAATAGAAGCTTCGGTGGACGCGTGTTTAGGTCTCCCACGTTGTTCGAGGACATGGTTAAATGCATTCTCCTCTGCAACTGCCAGTGAGTCATGTCACCATGTCTTAGTTGGGTAAATGAATATTTTTATCGTTTGGTGTATAGATGGGTGACAATAGTTTTTGACATAACAAAAATTCTTATTTAGCACTGAATGTATAATGAGTGTAATGTCAAATTCAATATAGTAGTGTGGTCAAATTGGTCTTTAAGAATTACTATAGTATGAAAAGATAGTCCCACGGAACATATGGGCATGACATAATTGTTGCACATTTTATACATTGGACTAAGTTAGAATTTTTATGGTTTCTGTGATTAAATTGTCACCTATTTGCATATTCATTGACGAAAATAGCTATTGACACTATACTTGTTCTGTTTCTCACTTTATTGGCTTGGGAAATGTTGTTTTGTCTATCTATTGTTGTGGTGGGTCTCTTTGTTCTTTTCTTTCACACTTTTTCAGTGGTAACTTGATAAACAAAATCTTTCAGGTGGCCAAGGACATTGAGCATGGCTCAGGCGCTCTGTGAGCTTCAATATGAACTGCAAAATGAATTGCCCTGTGCTGCTGTAGGGTCAGGCAATTCAAAAGTTGAGACTGAGGGATTCGTTCCCAGGACACCAGCTTCTAAAGAGACCCGGAGAAGCAAGGTTTCAACAAAGAGCATGCTTCTTAAGAAGAAATTAGAGTTGGAAGTGGACGTGCATGGAAATTTGCAAATGGACCACATGCTTGCTTCAAGTTCAGACCCGACCTTGCTTCCAACAGATCATGGCGATTCAGAGGTGCTTCGATCAGATGATTCATGTTATCAGTTCCCCGATGAAGGAGAGTACTTTGACCGTACTGGAAATTTTCCTTCCCCAGTTGAGCTGACAAACCTTGATGAGAGTTTTCTGGCAAAGCGATGCAGACTTGGTTACAGAGCAGGTTATATAATAGAACTTGCGCAGGCAATTGTTGAAGGCAAAATTCAATTAGAACAGCTTGAAGAGCTCTCGAAAGATGCAAGTTTATCCTGCTATAAGCAGCTTGATGATCAGCTCAAACAAATTAAGGGGTTTGGCCCATTTACTCGCGCCAATGTACTTATGTGCTTGGGATATTACCATGTCATTCCATGGGATTCTGAAACTGTTAGACACTTAAAGCAGGTGCTGTCTGCTTGCTTTTCCTGTTTCATTATGTCTATACTGATTCTGAAACTATTAGACACTTAAAGCAAGTGTTGCTATTTCAGGTTTCCTTTTCATTGTCTTTTATAAATGCCCTTGATGTGTATGAGATGTCTTAATGCAGGTTCATTCAAGAAATACAACCTCTAAAACAATTGAGAGAGATCTTCAAGAGATTTATGGGAAGTATGAGCCCTATCAGTTCCTAGCATTCTGGTAAAAGTAACACAACTTCCTTTTTGTTCTCTGGTGTTATTTTTAAGGTGTAAATTTCCTTACTCAAGTTCTTTTGGCCAGGTCTGAGATATGGCACTTCTATGAAACAAGGTTTGGGAAGATGAATGAAATGCGTTCTTCTGATTATAAACGTATAACTGCTAGTAATATGAGAAGCACTGTGAAAACCGCAAACAAGAGGAAGAGACCATCACGGAAATGCTAATGCTAATGCCCTTCCCTAAAAATCGACTCTTTATATTTACCGTTTGGTGAACACTTTCCGTTTTGTTGACCAAGCTCAAACAAATCGTTGAGGTCTAATATAGAATCAAATTTTTGTTTAAAATTTGTAAATATTTTGTTGTATTCAATTATCTGTTATTAATTTAGCCTTACAATAGCCATGAGATTTCTCTTTACCTGTTAGCTTTCTTATATTGTAAGTTGAATTCCATCGTGCCAAATAGTATAAATATTAGCTAAAATAAATTATTACTTCTAAATATATCAATTTTCATTACCTCCTACCATATTAAATTGGCTTTGGTTTGCCTCTGAAGTAACAGCTATTTTTGAAGTTGTAGAGAATGCCCCAGGAACATGACACAAAACTAGGAAAGTTTAGGTTTACAACCCAAATCACTAGTTTATTTACTGTCCTGATGCAACTAATAGTGCTCATAGCCATGTTGCATGTTGACCTCAGCAAAAGTAGAAATAAATTTATGACCGTGTGAAATAAAATTGAAAAAAAAAAAACTATTAAATAATGAAAAAAATTTATAAGTAATAAGACAAACTAAATTATTAAACCTAATGAAATTGAAAAAAAGCAAATCAATAAACTGTGGACTTATTGTTATTTGAATTTTTAGATTTGCTAAAAAGTAAATAAACATAAAAAATTAGATAATATATTCTTAATTTCCTGAATTATTTAAGTAAAATATTTGTTAAACTTCTTACTACTTTAAACTCTTACTTTTTTTTCTCAAGATTTTCATGAACTGATAAGAGTATTTTAATCTATATTCCAAAATTCACTATTCATGACATAAACTTCTAAAAAATAATATTAAAGTCAAAATATTCTTATTTTTCATAACTCTAAAAAGTTAAATTTTACAATCTCATGAAATATTTAGTTTCTAAACCCTTTAAATCATTTTATTTTCAAAATTATTTAAAATCTATATTAGAAATCTTACATTGTAATATAATTTACAAATAAATATAAATATTATTTTTAAAAAGTTGATATTTATATATAATTAAACTTAAAATCTAATTTTTAAGTTAGTATTATTATATATCTTAAATTCATTAATAGAGATACTTACCATGTTATTAACATCAGTGAAAATGTATGTGTTCACATTTTTTTTATATAATTAATTTTTTAAAATTATTATTTAAAATTTTATTTTATTTTCTTTCTTTACTTTTTAAATATATCAATTTTTTTCTTTATTAATTATGTATCATATTTTTCCGTTCATATTTGTAATATTTTTTAAATATATAAATAATAATAAAATAATAATTATTTTTCTTTAAATTATAATACTTTTTTTAGATAATACTAAAAACAGTTATAAAAGAGAATTCTTTATATATACTCTAAGTGTTTGGAAGGGAAAAAATAAAATAAAAATTTAAGAATAAAAACTTATTTTTTAATAAGAATTAAAATAGAGTTTAAGTCATTTAATTAATTATTTAAGTATAACGGAATTCAATTTTTATATGGAAGAAAATTGACAAAAGACTTTATTATAGCTATTTAAATGTAAAAATAAATGTGGGAAAATGATTGGAAAACTGAAATTGGATAATAATGAAAAATAAAATAATAATTTTAAAATTCACTATGCATTTAATTATAATTTAGTTACAAAGATTTTATGTATCTTTAGAATAGATGCATCATTTTGTTTCTTCTAAAAATTGACATATACTATACTAAAATCGTTATTATTAATTTATCAAATCAATATATATATCAAATCTTATTAATTTATTGAATAACAATAATTAATTTTCTTCTATGACTTCTTGTCCATTTCAAAATTGGTCCTATTTGCATGGCCAAGAAAAAAGAAAAGGGTTTAAAAGAAAACACTTGGAAATGTTGGGTACACAAAGCAACGAGTGGACTTGATGCAACCACTGTCATTTTCTTAGATTTTCTATTACTGACCTTAATCATCTCTTTCTCACATCCTCTCTCTCATCTATTTGTAGCCTTCCACAAATACAAAAAGATATCATCTTTCAACTTTTTATGTTAATTTATAATTCACACATTTCTAGGGTGAGAAAATTAAGGTTGAAAATTCTGATTCTGTGCCTGTCTATCCGAGACAAGGTGTGGGTTTTCCTCTTACCACTACACAATACAATTAAGTTACTTATGTCGATGACCTTGACGTCCTATTTTTGGTTCCATCTTAATTATGGTTCATAACTCCTTGATCAAGGCACGAGCGGTGCTCTGTAATCCACCTTCATCTTTCAACCTTCTACAATAAGTAGTTATTAATTAGAAATATTATTTTATTTTGCGAATTAAGAGATTTTATTATTAAAAAAAAAATAAAAAAATATTAAATTATATTATTCATATTTGATATTTTGTAATATTTTCATTCTATATATATATATATAGAATAAATAAATAAAAATATACTCACATGTATATCGAAATATACATACACAAAATCCTAAAAATCCTATGAGTGGTATAAGAGTTTTGGTTCGATACAATGGAAGGAGAAAGAACTTTTTCACGAGTCGTTATTCTAATTTTTTATGGCAAAAGTTATGACTTATGGGATATGAGAATGCAATCATATCTTGAAGGATTGAAAGTAGAGAAAGCTGTGGAAAAAGATTATATTGTTGATCCCGTACTTGAAAGTCTCACCATAGTTTAAATGAAATTTCACAAAAAAAAAAAGAGAAAGGCAAAAGCTAAATCATGTATGTTTGTTGGTGTTTCACAAATGATATCATCGGAATCATGATACTAAAGTCACCCAAAGAAATTTGGGATTATTTGAAATATCAATATAAAGGGGACGAGAAAATCTAAGGTATGAAAGTTCTAAACTTGATAAGGAAATTTGAGATACAAAAGATGCAAAAGTCTACAACAATTAATTAATACTCAAACAAATGGTTGGGTATTGCTAACAAAATAAAATAGTTAGGCCATGAATTTTCTTATTCGAGAATAGTTGAAAAAATTCTGGTTGTGACAGAAAGATATGAAACATCTATTGCTTCATTGGAAAATACAAAGGATTTGTCTAATATTACTTTGGTAGAATTGTTACATGCTTTACAAGCGCAAGAGCAACGAAAAACAAAGTACAAAATCACGAGTCTTTTCTGTTTGTCTTTATTGCAAGAAAAATAATCACACACTTAAGTATTGGTGAAAACCTAATGTAAAATATTACAAATATGGTCAATTGGGACATATAGAAAAGATATGCAAATCACAACCAAAGCAAGTCGTTCAAGTTATAGAGGATAGAGTAGAAGAGGTACTTCTCTTTGCATCAACATGCTCTACAATCAACAAATCCACAGGTTGGCTTATAGATAATGGTTGTACAAATCATATGACTCATGATTGAGAACTTTTCAAAGAACTCAACTAATCACATATTTCTAAAGTGAGAATTGGTAATGGAGAATAAATAAACCCGAAAGATCCGAAACAATTGCATTTAAAAGTCATTCGGTTAATAAATTAATTTTTGATATATATATATATATATATATATATATATATATATATAACTGATATTAATTATAATTTGTTAAGTATTTCTCAATTATGGAAAAAAATTATAAAGTATTTTTTGAATATAAATTTTGTGTAATTAAAGATATAAATAATTTGAAAATATTTAAAATTCACATAAAAATAAAAAATTTCACTTTATTGAAAGAATAATTTATTACAAATGAAATTATAAAAAAAATATAAAAAATATTTCTTTAAAAAAATTAATATTAAGAAAGAAAATATAAATATAAATAAAAATGTTAATAAATTACATAAATAAAAATATACCCATCATAGATAAAAAAATATACACATGACCAAGACCCATCGGTAATAGGTGTAATTCTACTCACCACATATTTTCCCGCTCAATGTTGTACACTCATGCAGTAAACTGTATTCTATTATCCATTCTCGGTTGAAAATTTCATTTGGGTGGCACTAAGTTGATCCGTACATGGGTTCCACAAAAAATTATTGTCTTTCATTTTCAACTCAAGCTGGTATTTTTATGTGGCACTGGGCCTCAAGAAGCCGCAACTAATTACATCAGTGCACATTGTGGAATACCCTGTACAAGGTGGAAGAATTTGTGTCCATGGAGAAAAACACTGTCGATTTTAGTCCTTTGCTCACTCCTCGTGGTGACGAAAATGCAAGCAAGACAGCATCATCTTCTCTTGTGTCAGCTACTAAATGGACTCTCAAGTCTTTAATCTGCGTGATCTTTGTTTTGTGGACAACTTTTATTTTTTTTCAACCTGCAAAGCCTGTGAAGGGCTTGTTTTCAAAATGGACTAATCTCAACCGTGATTCTCTTTTAGGATTCACTGGTTCGTGTATCTTTCTTTCTTTCTTGTTTTCACCTTGTGTGTGGCGTGAGTTCTAAGCCAACAGTGTGTTGTGTTTTGCAGGAAGCATTTTTGTGGTCTACACTGCCCCATTGCTCATAATTGCATTTCTTGCCATTGCACACCTAAATCTTACTGGGGAGGATCAGCTTCAAGGGTGTGTGATTCCCTGAAACGTTTCTATCTTTGTAATGAATTTCATCATCACCATAAATGCGGTCACAGTTTTGTCACAATGATTGTTATTTTGGAAAATTGTGGAACAATGAGTTGCAATTGCAGTTACAGTTACTTTTGATGATGCGGTCGAAATTGCAGTTCTATTAAAACCTTGGTTTACAGTATATGTTGTATTTTGTTTTTAATGGCAGGAAGAAGAGTTCCAAATATCCAAGGTTCCGCCTATGGACATTTCCTGTGCTTATCAAAGGACCATTCGGGGTTGTTTCTGCCGCAGAGCTCATTGGGATTGTCCTCTTTCTGCTGTATGTTGTCTGGGCTACTTATGTTTATACTGTGGAGGCCCTTGGGCTTATCTCTGAAACTCATCAGTTATCCTCTAGAGCCAAAAGGTATGACAGTCTTGTGCCATTCATTTATCTTCAGAATTTGGATTCTGCTGACTCAGTTTATTTAATGAAATGAAAAATGCTAGTGGCACATTCTTGTTAGTTGAAATTGACTTGAAATTATAAAAAATTGTGGGTGTGGCTTCAGATTTAATGATCCTTAGTTTGGGTAGTTTCCAATAAATTTAAAGAGTGTATTAGGAAGACTGAAAGAGTATATTGCTAGTTCTCCTCGAAATTAAATTATTTTCTTTGTTAAAGACTTGTAGTTTTGGCCTTTGTTGTTGTTATACTGTTCTTCTACTTATTTTTACGATTTCTTCAGTAGATGTTTCTCAATCAGCGTTTAATTGGTTCTTGATAACAAAAAGTCCATCATGAAACTAATAAAAAAGGGAAAATTTTATAGAAAAATCTTTTAAAATTCTTTGAAATCCTAATCTAATACACTTCTGAGTATCTGTTGAGATTTTATAAGGTATTCTAAGAAAATATCAGCCACGTTTGGTACTGTGTACTGTAGCGATGAAAAACCTGTGTCCCAACACATGTATCATTGGAGTGAAGTTTCACTCTAAGTTAAGGGTCTTGACATGGAATCCATATATTGTCTACTGATCATGCTTCAAATGGAATCATTTTTGTGCTGTTAATTATCAGACAACGGCCATCCTTGAACATTAAATTTTGGAACAGGCATTTGGCTTAGAAACTTTACAATGCTCTGTAGATTTAACAATGGTGGACATGATAAAGCTGATTTCCCAGATTTACTTGAACTTTTTCAGCATATTCATGATTGAAATTATGGGACTTCGATCCGGCGCGATCGGATTAATGTGTTTGGCTTTCCTATTTGTCCCAATTTCGAGGGGATCAGTTCTTCTCCGTTATATAGATATCCCATTTGAACATGCCACAAGATATCATGTATGGCTGGGACACCTCACAATGTTGATTTTTACTATCCATGGACTTCTCTATGTTATTGCTTGGGCAATGAATGGCCGCCTAGCACAAGAAGTGAGTCCTCTTAAATGGATTTCTTTCCTGAAGATAGTTTATACTCGCACTGAATCTGAATGTACAGAAAACACATAAGTGTTCTTTTTCAACTCCCTTTATGTTCTATTTGTTTATTTATATTGTTGGTATAGAAAGTATGATGTATTTCTTGATTGCTGAATGACTTTTAATGGTTTTTGCCTTCCATTTAAACTAAGTATATAGAGGAAAATAAACGAAGTATTGAGCTTCGTATCTGTTTGCATTTAGGTTTCTCGACTCTAGGTGCAGAAGTATATCACAATCCATTGAAACACCTTTTGTCTTATTCTTTTATTTTGCCTTACCAGAATGTCTGTAATGCTATTCTGAACCATAAGTTTGGTAGGTGTTGATTAGTGATGAACTGACATCCTTTATCGCTTTATGCATGATTTGATTATTGGGAGAACTTATGACCTCCTACAACCCATCAGGTCCCTAACCACTAGCCAATGCCTAATTGAGCCTTAGTGAATTTGGTTGGTCTAGTGTCTTGTATTTAGAGTAAGATTACGGTTTATGAATAGTAAAATCTAATTTTACTTCAATAGTTCAAGCTTTATCTTAAATACATTGGCATAATGAAGCTAACGATTTATGTGGCTAATTTGGTCCCCTTTGCAGTTAGTACAATGGAAAGATATTGGTGTTGCCAATCTCCCAGGAGTTATCAGCCTTCTAGCTGGTTTGTTAATGTGGGTGACCTCTCTTCCTGGAGTACGAACGTGGAACTTTGAGTTGTTCTTCTACACCCACCAATTATATGTAGTCTTTGTTGTCTTTTTGGCCTTGCATGTTGGTGACTTTATTTTCACCATGACTGCTGGTGGAATATTTCTCTTTGTGCTTGATCGGTTTCTGAGGTTCTGCCAATCACGAAGGACAGTTAATGTAATCTCATCAAGATGCCTTCCATGTGGCACTGTGGAATTGGTTCTGTCAAAACCTCAAAGTAATTATATGCTTATCATAGTTTTCTTGTGCACATAATTTGGTACCATAACCAGTTCAGTGACAATATACCTTTTTTAAAATGATGTAGATTTGAGATACAATGCACTAAGTTTCATCTTCGTTCAAGTCCGGGAACTATCATGGCTGCAGTGGCATCCATTCAGTGTTTCTTCTAGCCCTTTGGATGGAAAGCATCACCTTGCTGTTCTTATAAAGGTTCTTGGCAGATGGACAGAGAAGTTGAGACAAAGGATTGCTGATGCTGAAGCACAAAAAGATTATTCAGTCATAACAACTTCAGTAGAGGGACCATATGGGCATGAAGTACCATACCATTTACTGTAAGTGGCATGCCCAATTTTTTTATTTTTATTTGTGCTGCACACATAATAAATGATACAAACCATGATTTAGTCCTTATTCCTTAGTATGCATGCATACACTTTCGGACCAAAGAAGATTTTAGACCAACTTATGTTTCAGTTCTTCACTTGCTCAACAATTAAAACGTTTGGCCATTTTGTTCTTAGGTACGAAAATCTTATATTAGTGGCTGGTGGTATTGGACTTTCACCATTCCTTGCTATATTGAGTGACATTCTCCACCGTGTTAAGGAGGGGAAACCCTGTCAACCAAGAAATATTTTACTTGTTTGGGCAGTCAAAAAATCAAACGAGCTTCCACTTCTCTCAACCATTGACATGGAAACAATTTGTCCATCCTTTTCAGATAAAGTAAACATTGATATTCATATTTATGTCACTCGAGAATCAGATCCTCCAGTGGTGAGAGTCTACTTTCTATATACAAATTTGTACTTTCTTCTGATGGTGCTTTCTAATAATTTATTTATATATTTAATTATTTGTTTGTTTCTCACTAAATTGCATTTGATTGCTATTATCTGCAGGAAGAGGGGTACACTTACAAACCAATAAAATCTTCAGTCTGCCCTATGGCAAGTCATCGTGGCATGTCTGTTTTGGTTGGTACAGGAGACAATTTTTGGTCTGGACTTTATGTCATCTCATCTACAGTTGGCTTTGTGATATTGCTGGTTTTGTTGTATACTTACTACATAAACCCATTTCACATAAATATATGGTGGTACAAGGGACTACTATATGTAATCTGCATGGTTGCAAGTGTTGTTATCTTTGGTGGTTTAGTGGTTGTATTGTGGCACAATTGGGAAAAGCAAAGTTATTTGAAAGATAAGTTCAACAATGTAAAGGTTGATCATGAGACTCATCCAAATGGCACTTTGGCTCCCAAGGATCAAAGTCAAGTCAGTATTGCAAAGTCAACTTTCATTCGTTATGGTTCCAGACCAGACTTCAAAGGTATGTCTTTATGACGATAATTTTTCAACAGAACTAAGGTGTAGAGTTGTTGTATGATCAAAATTAAGGTATCATCTGGATAATCTGTATAGTAAAATATTCAACTAAATATCATTGTATAATATTGAAGTGAAACTCTAAATCTAACCATCACCACCAATATTAATTATTTAAATTTTGTCTTAATTCTTTTAATGTTTTTAAATCATAATCTTAAATTAAAACATGAAAGAACTGTTAATGTGTATTTACATGTAAATTCATGCATTCAGATACAAATACATTTTCACATTATCCGGTATGAAACATGTACTAACTATATTTACTAATCTGGACACAAACATTGCAGAAATTTATGATTCAATGTCAGAAAAGTGGGGCCATGTTGATGTAGGTGTCATAGTTTGTGGCCCTTCAACACTTCAGACAAGTGTAGCTGAAGAAATCAGGTCACACAGCATGACCAGACAACGCCATCATCCCATCTTCCATTTCCACAGTCACAGCTTTGATCTCTAGCCCCCCAAAAGGAAGATGAAAGGCAACATTTTCCTAAAGAAAAAGCGCACACACACATCTATATTATATATATATATATATATATATATATATATATATATATATATATATATATATATATACACACACACACATATTTATATATATGCATATATGTGTGTGTCTGTAAATATTGTGTATGTAGCAGGAATCCAATTCTACAACCCTTTTGAGGATAAGGTGCTAAGAAGAATTCTAATTTAAAAGGGTAATATAATTTTACTCCCTAGGTTGTTTATAAGCAATTTCATATATGTTATTCCTCAGTTTTCTGTGGCTTCTTTCTATCTCATCTCTTAGAAGTGTAAATTACTGAATCAGAAGATACCGTAAATGCGAAGCATATACTATTTTAAAGTAAGTTTCAAGTGTAGGTGACTATAATTTTTGGATACTCTATTTAATTTCACCTAACTATCATTCTATCATAAAATACATTAACAGATTAGGCATACCCAACCTTTGATTATTAATGTTTTTTAATGTTATTTTAATGTTAAAACAACAACGAAATATGAATTATTGTAGCTAATAAAATCATGAAAGCATCTCTGCAAGTTTCATTGGTTGCATGCACTTCATGAAAGATGGCAGGTCATTAGAAAGAAAATGACACATCTTCAGTAATGAAGGCTTATTCATCACATTTCGTTTGTGTTAATAGTTATGATAAAGTAACTAACTAATATCTGATGCATCGTACAATTTTTTGTAAAAATAAAAATAGAAATTCACAAGAAAATACTAAAGTAGTTGGTAAAAAATATTTGTGTTACATTTATAATATTAATTGATAAAAATATCCTTTAAATAAGTTTAAAAGAAAAGACATCTTTTATATGATAAAGGAATCCAAATGTTTGACAAACACAAAGAAATTATTTCTCTTTAAAAAGTGAAAACTCAAATTTATTATATAAGAATAAATAAATAAATAACACGTGCCAACTTATAACTAAATGTATAAGCCAAATTGTAAAAGGTAAGCACAGTTGTACAATAATAAAAAATTAATTATGTTTAATGAGGTTAAATTGAATAAAGATGTCTCTATGACTTATATAGAGAAGACATTATATGATTATATTAGTGATAGGATTAAACTTTAATAATAAAATAAATTAGATGAGATTACAAAAATGTAAAGTAATGTATGAATAGATTGGTAGGTGAATAGTCCTATTCTTCCATTTGCTTCATCAATGCTTTGAAGACAAGCATAGAGTGCGTACCTTCTCAACACTTTGGTCAAATATCTGGCTTTCATTTTTCTCATTATATATTAATATTACATCCATGAATTGGATCTACTCAAAATAAAAGCAGAAACACGTTTATGAATGGCTAGAGAATACTAAAAAACAACAACCTCTGTGATTGGTAAAATGATCACACCAAACCTATAAACATAATAAAGAAAATGTTAAAGGAATTACGTAAAGCAACACCAAAAGAATATTACCATACCAAACATTAACACTTTCCTTCTTATTTTGCCCCACCTCGATAATAAGGAAAGGGATTAAAAAAAGTCCAAACATATTTTCAAAATAAGTAATCCAATTTTGGGACAAAAATCAATTCGTAAAAAACCAAACCAAACCAAACAACGTAGGGTTGTGTGGACAAGGTGAGACAGAGATGGTGAAAAAACATGTATACGTGGATCATAATTTCTTGTTGTGTCGGCAAACAAACCTACCTTCGTTTTTTTTTTTTTTCTTTTAAATTCCATAACCAACATGTTAATAAAAAATTAGTACTTTGTTCTTCATTGGGATCGTAATTGGCATGAGAACATCGCATCACGTTTTTATAGGTATCCATGCACATGACACATTCCCATCTACTCAGGAACAGCATCAATAGAGTATGTACCAAGTAATCATTTCCCATAATTTGACGTATAAAAATTATAATTAAACTTAATACAATCACTTTTATTAACCTGCGTGAGATAAAAACAAAATCTTTTTTTTCTGACACTCTGTCAGCATCGACGGTAGGCTTGTCAGTGTCTCAAACCTAATTAATACAATTTCCCAACCAAAACCATCGTTTGGTGGTTAAAAAAATCAAAACAAATGAGAAAAACGAAAGCAAAACTCCAACCCACATGATTTAGGTATCAACCAATAATAATTATTATTATTATTATAAGTATAATTATTAGAAGAGAAGGCCAAGCACCGTCACTACCAGCCACGCAACCCTTTCAACGGAAAATTTTCATTCCCACCGATACAAAATAAAATAATAAAAATGAATTCACATTATTGGATAATAAAATAAAAAATATTAAAAAATATTAAGAAAAAGGACAGCGAGCACCAACACGAAGTCCTTCCTACTAATACTAAGCAACCAAGTCTCACAGACGCTGATACAAAGAAAGAGTGTCTTGTGGTGTGTGTTGTGTCGGTGGAAGTGTTGGAGCCAAAAAAACAAAACCAACGACCATGTACGGTAGAGATCCGTGGGGTGGTCCGTTGGAGATCAATGCGACGGACTCCGCCACGGAGGAGGAGCGGAGCCGGAACCTGCAGGACTTGGACAGGGCGGCGCTGTCGCGTCCCTTGGATGAGACGCAGCAGAGTTGGCTTCTCGGCCCCGGCGAACAGAAGAAGAAGAAGTACGTCGATCTCGGCTGCATCATCGTCAGCCGCAAGATCTTCGTCTGGACTGTCGGCACCGTTCTCTGCGCCGCATTTCTCACCGGATTCATCGCGCTCATTGTCAACACCGTCCCTCGCCACCACCACAAACACCCCCCTCCCGACAACTACACGCTCGCCCTCCACAAGGCGCTCATGTTCTTCAACGCCCAAAAATGTAAAATAACTAAGATCTCGCATCGACGAATCATTTTATAGTATATACTCACTAACCTGTCTGAATTGCTTGTGTTTGTTGTTGTTGCAGCGGGGAAGTTGCCGAAGCATAACAATGTTTCTTGGAGGGGGAACTCGGGTATGCAAGATGGGAAGTCTGCTGGAACGTCTTCGGCGATTAAGGATCTGGTGGGTGGGTACTATGATGCCGGGGATGCTATCAAGTTTAACTTTCCTGCTTCGTTTTCCATTACTATGTTGAGTTGGAGTGTGATTGAATATAGTGCAAAGTATGAGGCTGCTGGAGAGCTTGATCATGTTAAGGAGATCATTAAGTGGGGTACTGATTATTTTCTCAAGAGTTTCAATAGTACTGCTGACACCATCACCACCCTTGCTGCTCAGGTATCCATCCACCCCCTTTTTATTTGTGTTTTTGCTTCATTCTTGATTTGTCACATTAAGTGATTTGCTTCATAAGTTTCGTTCCAGTAGTAGTAGTATAGTATGGAACATGGTTTTAAATTGTGTTGCAACTATCAATCCTTGATATTGTGGGACATTGTGCACAAATGTGGTCGATCCGTACTTTAGAATGGATGAAGGATTTAAATTGTAGTCTAAGTCACACTTCTGTTGTATCTCTCAATTCTCAGTATTACAGGAGATCGCAGACAAATGTGATTGATGCAACTGTGATCACGATGTGGTCGCTGAGACTTCAAAAAACTTTGATGTTATGGTTGAAATTATGGTATCAAACTATCATTTTAAGACCTTGGTATGCAGTGAGAATTGGGGAAAATGCATCACTTATATGTTTCTTTTTTTTTTATATAAGTTCTAATTTTTAATGGTTTGAGAAGATAAGTTCGGTTGATGAACTAGAATTTTATTGTGTGGTGTGGTGGGGAATGGAGGAGGATGTGTGGCAATTATTATTTTTTTGGGCTTGTTTGACAGGTTGGGGTTGGAGATACTTCTGGTGGGAGTACAACTCCCAACGATCACTATTGCTGGATGCGTCCGGAGGACATTGACTATGACCGCCCTGTCACTGAATGCCACAGTTGTTCAGATCTTGCCGCTGAGATGGCTGCTGCCTTGGCTTCTGCTTCCATTGTTTTCAAGGACAACAAGGCCTATTCGAAGAAACTGGTGCATGGTGCAACCACGCTCTTCAAGTTTTCGAGGGAGCAGAGAGGCAGGTACAGTGGTGGGAGTTCGGAGGCTGCGATATTTTACAACTCAACCAGTTACTGGGATGAGTTTGTTTGGGGAGGCGCTTGGATGTACTTTGCCACTGGAAATTCATCATACCTTAAGCTTGCTACTGCTCCTGGCCTGGCCAAGCATGCTGGTGCTTTCTGGGGAGGCTCTGATTATGGGGTACTCAGCTGGGATAACAAACTCGCTGGTGCTCAGGTAATTTTGTAGGAATTCTTTGTTTTTATGTATATATATTATTCTCAAATTGTCTTGGTTTGTCATTTGGAAATTAGATTAACATCAATAAACAACAGATGAAGTTAAAGTCATGATGAATTTCTGTTTTCTCGTTCAATTTTTCATTTTTCAAGAAGGCATCTAAGATTAATAATAATTGGCTGATAGTTGTGGTGTTTATGGTGGATGCTGTATGTGGTTTCAATACTTTGTTCTTTAGCAGCAAAAAAGTTGAGTTTTTAACTAGAGGTCTGGCTAATCATTCCTAAATTGGAAATACTTTTCCTATATTTGTTATGATTGCTAATAATCTTGGATTATTTACCTTTGTATCTTTCATGAGTTCTGCTAATAATTTTTTGAGTTCAAATCTTCATGTTAGCCTTCATTTTTTCTCATGTATGTTTTCTTTCCTGGCCTTCTTAAGATGTTCCTTGCAAGTGGTCTTTATATCATCCATTATCTAGCAGGTTTTGGCCATTCTAGAGAAAATTCATTTGATTGATTTGATCATGTCATTATTTAGGTTCTTCTGAGTCGTTTGAGGTTGTTCTTGAGTCCTGGCTATCCATATGAAGAAATTTTGAGGACCTTTCACAATCAGACAAGCATAATCATGTGCTCCTATCTACCAGTTTTCACGAGCTTTAATAGAACCAAAGGTAACAATTCTTACTTCAAACCTTTCCACCAGGCACATTAGAATTCATGACTTCCTGATTACTATTCTGTGATGTAAATGATGGTATTTTGTGCACTCAGGTGGCTTGATTCAATTAAACCATGGTAGGCCTCAGCCTCTGCAATATGTTGTCAATGCTGCCTTTTTGGCTGCCCTATACAGTGATTATCTTGATGCTGCTGATACACCTGGATGGTATTGTGGACCTAATTTCTTTTCCACTGATGTGCTCCGTAACTTTGCCAAGACCCAGGTATGTGGTATTCGGCTCCTTCAAGAGAGTCATCCATGGAAACAAATCCCTCATTATTGATATCACTGAAATGCCTGGGTTAATTGTTCTTTTCCTTTGTGGGTGTTTTTGCAGATTGATTATATTCTTGGGAATAATCCGAGGAAAATGAGCTATATTGTAGGTTTTGGTAATCATTATCCAAAACATGTCCACCATAGAGGTGCATCTATTCCAAAGAACAAGGTCAAGTATAACTGTAAAGGTGGATGGAAATGGAGGGATTCTTCCAAGCCAAACCCAAATACGATTGTCGGTGCCATGGTTGCTGGTCCTGACAAGCATGATGGCTTCCACGATGTTCGTACAAACTACAATTACACAGAGCCAACTCTTGCTGGAAATGCTGGTTTAGTTGCGGCACTAGTTGCATTGTCCGGTGACAAAAGCACATCAATTGACAAAAATACCATTTTCTCTGCTGTTCCCCCTATGTTTCCCACACCACCCCCACCTCCAGCGCCATGGAAACCATAAGTGCACCATGCCATTGGTTATTTCTTTCTAGCATGTACCACTGATGTTTTGAGTGACGTGTAAACTTCCTTTTGTATCAACTGGAAGATCAAGGTAATTTTACAGACAAAAGCTTGGAGAAATGGAAGTAACGGAAGCCTCGTGACTATGGCTTCCTGAGGCCAATGATCGATCCAAGATTAGCATTAAGAATTGATAAAGTGGTACTTGAGAGTGTGTCTCTTTAAATTTTTGTCATACACATAGTATATATGTATCTAAATCAAATCTTGTATTCTTTAAACATAAAAAACTGAACAGCTTGTAATTGTTTGACAATTTCATCTAATGCCTTCACAGTTTTACTCAATATTTGTCTTGCACTTTATCTATTTCTTTTAGTCTTATTTTTCGCGTTCTTTCTGTTTTGTAAGATAGCCATTGAGATGTTATCCAAGGACAATCATAATTGTAACTGCAAGAAACCATTCTCTTAAATATATATATATATATATATATATATATATATATATATATATATATATATATATATATATATATATTTTGAACACTGTAAAGAGACAACGACACCGAAAAATAGAAACAAGTGGCACACCATTCGATCGCATAACTTTGACAACACTACATTTCTTGTGTTCCATGGTGCCGCACTTTCTCCATAAAACACAAAAACAACGGTACACTTAAAAATGTACTTCCGATTCTTAATGTGAATGTGCAAGGTTGTGAAAAACTATCTTTACTTTATTAGTCAATCTTGTACGCTACTCCGTGACCAGCACTTCGAATCTGGTTCCATCTATTATGCATGCCAACTTCATTCATTTGCCTTGATACCTTGACAAGTTGGGAAACATTCCTTGCTTGCTGTGGCTTAAATCAATTCTGCACTATGCAGAATATCGTTACCTTAACTACCATCACATTCAAGGCCAAAAATATATTGAACAGAAAGAATTGTTCTGGTGACAAAAGTGCTAAACATGGCAGAAGAACTGAACCACTCGCTGGAATATACACCAACATGGATTGTTGCGGTTGTTTGCTCCATAATTGTTTTCATCTCTCTTTGTGTTGAGCGTGCCCTTCACAAACTTGGAAAGGTAAACTAACATATCTCTCAATTCACATTTCTTCTGGCCTAGTCTATTTCTCAACCATTTTGTTCTGTTTAAGGGAGCTAGTATTATTCTTGTTACTCAATTATTTTGTTTTTGGTATGTCTTAATTACTTTCAATCATGATGAGTTATTTGTTCGGTTGGATGTTACAGTACCTAAAGAAAAATGATCAGACAGCATTGTTTGAAGTCTTATCAAAATTGGAAGAAGGTAGTTTCTCTTGAGTTTAAATTTTATTCACTCTCAAGCACAAAAAGCTTTTAAATGTTATCATATGTTAACACATCTTGCAATTTTTTATTAACATTTTTTTCTGTAAAGAACATTATTACGATTTTGATGTGGTAAATGTGTTAATTAGCATTGCCCCAATCCTTCCAAAAAATCATTGAATCAATGGTGACATTAGTAATCCAGTTCCTCAAAAGAATAAAATTATTCAAATAAATCCAAAAACTCCGAATTGAGCCTTGTAAACGGAGCAAGTAAATACAAGTAATAATTGTATTTTTGAAGGGGATTACATAATCTGTGTTCTCAATCCTACTGAGTACAAACATTTGTATCACATCCATTAAGTACATTCAATCTTTTATGATACTTCTGCTATAAATGTCCACAGTAATATGTAATTCTTTATCCTGATCAGTGTGCACCTTATGTTTTTTCACCAGAATTGATGCTTTTAGGGTTCATTTCCCTCTTATTAACCGTCTTTCAAGGTTTAATAAGCGACATTTGCATCTCACCGAACCTTGCAACTCAAATGCTTCCATGCAAAAGGCCTCATGAGTCTTCAGAAGGTTCAGAGCATTATCAGATATACTATGATGCTACAATAAACAGAAGGAGGCTTTTTTCTACTGATTCTGGTTCAGATCATTGCAGGCATAAGGTTGTTACCAATGTTACTGAACCAAATTGGGAATTCTATCAAGCTGGAAAGATCACAAAATAACATTTTTATATGCAAACAAACTATTTGAATCATATTTATAATCCATTCCCTTTTCCTAATCAGGGGAAGGTTCCATTGTTATCATTGGAATCTTTACATCAGCTTCATATTTTTATCTTTGTCTTGGCCGTGGTACATGCAATATTCTGTGTCACCACAATGCTTCTAGGAGGTGCAAAGGTAATAATAAGTTGGTGATATCATATTCCTTAAAGTTGATATATTCTTAGTAGAAGTAAATGGTCCATCCATGATTTGCAGCATATTAATGATTAATATTTATATGGTGTAGATTAGGGAATGGAAGACCTGGGAGCTTTATTATAGGGACAACAGCACAGGTCCAAAATTATAATTTGAATCTAAAATTCAGATGATCATATAAGAAATTTGTCTCTTTAGATTCTAACTTTCAAGCTCAAATGCAGAAATAGATACCATTAAGTTCTTCGAACAAAAAGAGCAGGGACATTGGAGAAAAGCAGCTGTTGTTAGTTGGCTGGTAAGTCTTCAGAATCTTCCTCAGTCTTTTTCCAACATTAACTATTAGGATGAAGGCAAATGGGATTGTAGACTTCTACCAGTTCATAACAGTAGCATTTTTAGAGTTTAATGAGCATGTTCTGTTATGGTAAAAGATTTTACACTAATAATCAATAAAAAATAATCGTTTCTATGAGTTTTAATATATTTATTATAAAACTCAAACAATTTGCTTAAAAATGAGAATGTTGAACTAATTAAGAAATATTCCATGATTATTAGTTTTACACTTCTAATCAATTAGAAATCACGGTTAGCACAACTTTTAATTTGTATTTGAACAAGGCGTTTCACAATTTGTAAGAATTCCAAATATATTAAATTTAAATTATTTAATTTTTCATATATTTTGTTGGGAGATTTTAAAAATTAACTTACTTTCATACCCTTATAATTTTGGATTTTAAAAAAATTATTTTTATCAATACAATTACAATGTTTTAAATCATCTCTCTTTCATTCAAATTCCTAAAATATTAGAGGTAGTAAAGGAGCAAACTATGGACAAATTATTCATCTTTATCTTTATTAAATTGAATTGTGTCAAAATTCAAATTCAAATGTTGACAAAATTCAAGTAACAATGTTTGAGAAGAATAACATTTCATCTAATAGAAGTCGTATGGCTTGCTAAGAGACAGAATTAAGAAAAATTTGGAGTCTTTTTTCCTGTAACTTTATAATTTCTTTTATGAACTCCCATAATTAAAATAAATCCTATTTTACCCTTTTTCAAAATATGTTCACACTTTCCAAACTTATTTTTGGATTAACTATTATAGAAATACATTATGAATTGAGTGTTTAAGAAAATATTTTCAGAGCAGACAATCTGAAAATATATTTTAGAACACTCAATCTAGAATACATTTTTGGATTAATATTCTGAAAATACATTCAGGATTAAATGTTTTGGAACTCACTTTTAGGTTTGAAAATTGGTTTTGAATTGAGCAATTTGAATCCCTATATTCACTTTTAGTTCAGTTTCCATACAATAGGTATAAAACATTAATAATTTCTTACCTTATGAATTAAAAACAGTATTCAATGGAGGTAGAACCACAACAAAAGGAAATTGTAACAACTATGGAGGTGTAGAGGAGCGGAACAGAATAAGTTTTTAGGGTTTCAACAAAAATAGTAAAAGAGTATTCTATTATTTTACATAAGTTATAGGGGTGCAAGAAGAAATTATGGGGGCAGAAAGAAGGAGCCCGAAATTTGACCAGTAAAATATATAAGGGCGTTTAGTTTTGGGCTTGTTTTGGCAGATATCATTCTTCAAGCAATTTCATGGCTCTGTTACAAGGCATGACTACTTTGCACTTCGGTATGGATTTGTCAAGGTTAAGATCTAGTCATATTATATATTTTGTTAATCATTTGAAGAATAATAACTATTTCATTATATGCATATCAAATAAATTACAATACCTGTGACATTTTTCAGGCACACTACCCACATGACATGAAATATGATTTTCACAATTACATGCTGAGGACACTTGAAGTAGACTTCAAAAGAGTTGTAAGCATAAGGTAAGAGTTCAATCAAGTTCATCTCATGTTTTTGTTCATTGCAAGAAAAATTGGCTTGTAATAGGCCAACTGTTCTTGACTGTTTTACCTTACTACTGTAGCTGGTATCTGTGGGTCTTTGTTGTGCTGTTTTTGCTGTTGGATATTGAAGGTAAATACTTAATTAAGATCCTCTTACTCTAATGAGAGTAAATACTTATAGTTTTGTATCTAACTACTTATGAGTTTACTGTGCAGGATGGCACACTTATTTCTGGTTAGCCTTTTTACCAGTGATAGTAAGTGACCCACTTACATTCTTTACTCATAGTTGTTTTGTTAACATTACAATGAAACCATTGATTTCATCTTTAAAGCATCACCCTCTCTACTAAATGGTTCTTAAAGTTAAAAATATTTGGGAATAAAAAATTATGATTTATTTTTGACATTACCAATTAAGAATGAGGTGTTGGTAAATGATAAGAGTTATACTAAGCTTGCTCATGAAACAGCTTCTACTTCTGGTGGGGGCAAAGTTGGAGCACATAATCGCTCGTTTGTATCAGGATTCAATGGAAATGATGGGAAGGGAAGGTGCCCATTCAATGAAACCATCAGATGAATATTTTTGGTTTACCAGTCCAACCCTAGTTCTTCACTTACTTCACTTCATTTTGTTTCAAAACTCTTTTGAGATTGCATTTTTCTTCTGGATTTGGGTGGGTGTTTCATCCATAAACTTTCCTTTCAAATTCCAGTCGTCTCAATAGAATAATTAGTCCATCTCTTAATGATTCCTTATGCAGTGCACATATGGATTTGATTCATGCATTATGGAGAAAATATCCTACGTTGTCCCAAGACTTATAATGGGGTAGAAAATCTTAAATACTTTTGCTAAACCTATATACATTGCCATAGAGAAACATGTGCTATGTTCTAATCTCACTGCTGAGTGGTAAAATGTCATGCAGTGTAATTGTTCAAGTGCTTTGCAGTTATAGCACCTTGCCTTTGTACACCATTGTGACTCAGGTAATTGAACAATCTGAGGACATGTTCCTCCATTGGATTCATAAGAACTAGTTTGGAAGTACAATACAAGGTTTGATCAAATCAAAACTCAAACATGTTTTTGTTCTTTGTTTTAATATCCTCACAATGAGAGCAGATGGGTAGCAAAGTCAAGACTGATAAGTTACTTTCAAGTGACTCCCTCAATACAAGACAGTCCAACCGCATGATCAAAGAATCAACCCAAATTGATGAACAAGCAATAATCATGGAAGATGCAACATCTATAATTGAGCTTCCCCATGTTGTCCATTCTCCTTTGGAGAAACCAAATACATCCAACAATTAATGAATAAACAGTCACTTTATTTCTGAAAATGCTACACACTGTCTGTCATATTAGTATCTCAAATTAAAAAAACTGATAAGTTCCTGAAATGTGACATAAATCTTCAAAATTTCTCATTTTAATCCCTAAAACTATAACACCTTAGTAACATGGTTTTTTAAATTCTGGATAAATATGGTTATTGATATACACTTTCAAAAAAAAAAAATTGCTGCAATTTAAAAAACTAACGTGACAGTGTCTTACAATTTCAGAATCCTACTGACTGTTTACTCGATATATATTCTTCAAACTAGCATGAATTCATCTTGATTGTTGAAAAATTTGAAGTGTCAATACAACATTACTGATTGGTTTTAATAATAATTTTATTATATAAATAAAAAAATACTACAATTTGTTGTTAGGATGAATACATCATGATCGTAAAGAGAGCAGCCACAGTTCAACTGCATTCTTGAACATCACATTATTATTTAATTTGAAGTGAATTATTTATTAAATGAAGGTACTGAGTGAAGCTGACATGATTTCTTGCTTTTATTTTTTTAAAATGTAAAAGATCCTTAGAAAGTAATTTTTTAAACCAGCCATGGTTCGAGTTTCCGGACTGGAGTTAATTGTAATGTTAAAGAATTGTTTTGCCATTTACACTTCTTTCTGGTTCTTCACCTAAACTATCCCTATCTTCACCCATTCACTCCTCCTTATGCACTGCTCTCATTTTTTTCTCTGCAAAGTCATCTTAGTAGACCATCTCATTCATTCTTTACAATAGAAGTATTGGCAAGTTCAACCGCACAAAATATGGATATAAAAAACTACAATTACTATTCACTCAAGGCACTCTAAAGGATACTTTTTTATAACACAAATATTAAGACAATGTTGTAATACTTCAGCAAACTAGCACATCCCTGCTTAGATCGATGTTATTTCTAAAGTAAAGATACAGCCTTTGGTTTAATTTAAACTACATTTTAATTATTTAATAAATTTTAAGGATAATATATTCGTACTTGCACCTTTTTATATAAGAAAGAAAAAATGTTAGTAGAGCTTTTTTTCCAATTTATTAACAGCCGGTTATATGTTTACCTGATTGGTGCGTTTGCAGACTTTTCTATCCTACTTGCTCATTTCAATAATGAATAAAAAGCCTAAGAGAGAGGGTGAAACTCACTATGGTGCATGTAGTCCTAAACCATATTTTAGATACATAATTATACACTATTATCGTGGGAAGTTTGATTTCAATGGGAACCCTTCTCCATCTGAAGACTGCCACTCCCTGACACAGAGGCAGCTTCCTCATTGGCCTCTGCAATCTTGAGTTCATTAAGGGTCCTTTTTGCATAAACAGTGAAGGCAATGGTGGTAACAACAGCAACAATGAAAGAAATTATGTTGTAAACGATTTCCACAGTTGTCAATTGGTGTTTCCCGTACTGTGCGTCTGCCAAGGTCTTTAGTAATCGACCACTGCTCAAAATTGACCACCATTAACAAATGAGGAAAATATCAACGTATTAATAAAGATTGGTAAAGAAAACAGGTTATGGATTCAGTCATATCAGACCGATGAAGTAGTATTTTTTTTGTCATAGTCATATATGTCTGTTTTCAAACAAACTTCAGAAAGTTTGACTTTGACCATCTTATTCCTTTGGAGGGTATGAGGAGAAAATTGAGGGGATTGTCAAGACATGAAAATAACTAACAAGGATAACTATTTAGATTCTATCTGAATAAATTCTTCATATATCAGACAAAAAAGATAAAAAGGAAAAATAAAAGAAACTTGCTTTCGGATAAATAAAGTCATTTGATTTTTCCAAAAAATTATTTTAACTTATTTATAAATTAATTTTAGCTTGAGAGAATTTTCTTTCATATTTCTTTCTTCTTGTATTCTTCTATAACAAGTGTCTATGGAAAAATTTATGTAAATAGGGAAAATTTAACACTTATTCCAACCTTTACCATCCGGGAACACAGGCGGAGGGGGGCTTGATTTAAGAGAACACTTTATAATTATATCTGTAAGTATTTTAAAAAATGACACCAACCCTGTTAGGAAATTCTTGAGCTCCACCCCTGCCACCCATCCAAAAATACCATAAAGGCAAATACGAAATCACAAACCTGTAGATGTAAATGAAAGCTTCTGGCACCATTCCTGCTATTGATCCACATAAGTACGGCCAAAACTTCATATTTGTCACAACAACAGCATAGTTGAAAATGGTGTACGGAAAAGGTGAAACTCTGAACAGAGCAACTACTTGAAATTGATGGAACCAACTCCCTTCCCCAGCAAGCCTAATCAATGCAGCATTCTTGGGCCATTTCTTTAACCATTTCTGAACCATTATAAATAAAGAGCATAAACATAAACGTAAAAGAGACAGAAAAGCAACATGAATCTACAATTGTGGTCACTTGAGAAACAAAATAACTTACATGAATGCGGTCACGGAAAACTAGTCCAATTAAGTAAGGGAGGACCATCCCAATGGTTGTCCCAACCATTATTATCACAAAGCCAAGGCCATAACCAAAGATCATCCCAGCCAACCACATGGAAGGTCCGGAAGGGATAAAAAATACTGGGAATAAAGCCAGAGAAGCAACAAGTACAAGGGCAAGAACTGGACGGCCAAAAGTGGTCGCTTCCCACTCCATGATTGGGTAAATTATCTACAATAGAAAATTAAGGAAAAGGTTCAAAACATGAATTAACAGCAACCATGTGGAGTGTAAGCTATTCCACAAGAATTAAAATATCGAGTCTAAGCTTGTTCATAGGCAAAACCAAAAATATCAATATGTATGCAATTCCCAAGCCTCTTCCAAGTTTATTACCATAAGACATTTTGGGATATGATACTCATAAGGTCTATAAAATGTCTGAAAACAAGCGTTAGAGAAAAAAAGGGAGGGATGAGGAAGCAGAAATTCCTAACAGCAAGTACGAACAGCATCTATTGTCTTTCTCGTAATCTAAATTTTGTCACATTAGCATGAGACAGTATATTGATTGAACTCCTCTATTAACTTTTCATCACATTTGATAAAAATATAGTAAACTGCATACTGACGCAATATAATTTGTGTGAAGAGAGAATAATATTAATCTAATTGGCAACAGTAACCAAATACATAAAGATGCGATGTGAGATGCCAAGGAAAATGCCAATCTTCAACTATCATTGTCATATAAAGTATAGCGATTGAAAAAATTAGGAGCCTGAAAGTGACACAGGAATGTCATAATTATCAACATCAAATAAATCCAGGAGAGTCAAACATCATGTTATAGATCAATTTCTGAATGGGAATTGCAAAGCCCACATCCCCAGATAATGCACAGCAAGAAAAGCAATTCTTGTTACCAGAACAATTGTAAAGCCAGAGGAAGTACCTTTTCAAAAGTAAATGGTACTCCCCATTTCACTATAACAAAACCAAGTACAACAATGACAAAGCACCAGAAAAAGGCTTTCATCCACCACCTGAAAGATTTAATTCTTGATTCTGCTAGAGGCTGTAGCATTTCATTTTCGACAGCCCTGGGTTCATCAGATATGGCAAGTCTAACATATTCACTACTCCCCCTCACATGATGACTTGATATTGCATGTTTTTCCAACTCCTTTGATGATTCTGGTGTCATCATTGTGATGCCAAAGGACTGTAAACAAAAGCACAACAGAAGCATGAAGTTGAGATTAATTCAAAGTGAATAAACTAAATACTTAAATCAAGTAAGAATATAAGGCATAAGCAAAATCAGTTCATACACTAAGACCAGAAATTATCAAGCCAAATTACTGCTAGTTAACATTCACATTATATGACAACAGAGAATAGAGATATAGTAGCAAAAAATTAAAACAAGGATGCTTAAAAAGATAACTAACATGACTTATACCTATATGCAGGTGAAGAGTTATGTATGACTGAAAGTGTCGATTTCCAGAAATATAGTAGGGTATATTCCTATTTGCAGATATAACAAGGCAAACAGAAGCAAAACAAAGTAAGAAAGCTACAGGAGCTACTATATTAATAAATTTCCTTTCATACTATGCGCAGAAAAATTGCACAATACTGAATGTGTTAAAAATTATGTAAAGATCGCAATGCTGCCTATTTATATCTAATTAAAAATCTGCCACGAGTAGACTGTAAGATTCTGCGCATAAAGGCAGGGGCCACATGATTTAACCAAAAAAAGCAAGTATCAAATTCATAAGCTATATAATATCCTAAGCAAAACAGAATCCATGAATGCTTGCAGAAAAAAGCGTCTGAATATAGGACGCTGATTGGAAAATATCGATGACTGCAAACAGCCCAAAAAACACTTTTTTTTTTCTTTCTCTATCCCACTTCGTTTTACATAGATGATTCTTGCTCTCACAACCAACAAGAGCCCTGAAGAACTGATTCAATTACCTTCTATTCTAAGAACGAACCAACAGAAAGGAAGAGTTCAGAGCCCTAAATATTTCAACACCCAAGCTGGTCCCTTTCTATTTAAAATGAAAACCCAAAACTATTTTTTCTGCTGAAGAAGACTTTCAATAATCAGATAAACAATAACCAGTGGCACTCACCTCTCGAAAATCCCTTGAGAGGTTGAAGGTGTTGAATCCAAATTTTCCCAAACTAGAGATAGGTTTAAAAGGACTAACTAAGCCAGTCACTTTATGCATTAAACAACCACAACACAACTTCAATAAACTTTTTCCTTCATTAAATTGCAAAAATTTAAAACTCCGAGGCGCCTCCCTCTTCAATGCCCGCAATAAATAAAAACAAAAAAAATTATTCTTTCCTCTTTTTTTGGCTATGAAATTTAAATAAGACAAAACAAAATAAAATATCCTTAGAAACTGTGAAACTCACCAGTAAGAAGAAGAAGAAGAAGGAGAATCAGATACTGTTGTAGTAATAAGCTGAGAGAAGCGAAAGGTTCCCAAATTAACCTCGGTAAAGCTTGGCCGTCGGAGGGAGTCGGCGACCACCGTGGACAGCGGAAGACGGAGGAAGTCGAACGCGGAGGCCAAGAAAAAGAGAGGAAGTTTGGTGATCACCAATGTTTCATTTTCAAACTTCAAACAAGGCACCTTCCCTTCTTATATTTCAATTTTCTAACTTTTTTATTTTATTTTATTTTATTTTGATGCAGAAGCGAAGAGAGAGGGAAAAATTGTACGGTGACTTTTCCAAAAAAGTGAATAAAAAAAGTAGTTGGATTGAATGCATGTTCAAAAGTGATAACAAAACACCCAAAGAAAATTAAGTGAAGGAAAATGTACTCAAAATATGCAAGAAAAAAAACTGTTATTTTATTTAAAAAAATTCAGTCTATGATTTCTAGTAATTATTTAAAAACTATGATATTATACAAAATTTAAACAATTAATTTTCATGTCATGACATTTTTAATGTAATATATTTTACATTATTAACTAACAGATTGTATATAATAATTTAGGATTAAATGGAATTCAGATTATTAGTATTATTATAACATAATGAAAAAAAAGATCCTATGCTGTGAATATTTTAATTAAATTATTAAATAATCAAGTTTTTATATTATCAACTTTATATAAACAAATGCTTTTTTAATTATTTCCAAACACATACTAATTATTTAATAAAGAAAACGTAAATACTTGTTTATTTGCGGAGGTTTTAATTTTGGCGCGGCCAGAAGCACATAAAATATTTTGGATAATAAAAACAACCAAACTGAGTAGTAATTAAAAGAATTTTTATTTAAAAATAGAATGTGGGATTGAAAATTGAAAATAAAAATGCATTATAAAAAAAAAAAAAAAAGTGTGCTCTTGTAGGTTCTATGGACTGAAATGTGAATAGTTAAAATGGAAAATAAATTTGAGACCTTCAAAAAAACGTAGACTTGACATATTTTGTGGCAAAATGGTATATTGGTCAACGCGGTGACGCGCTAAACTGTTGGGTGTGGGACACGTCCATTTGTATGTAATGAAGGGAAGTGGATGGGAAAGATGATAGATTTGAAAGAGAAGAAAGCGCGTGCAACAACAGTGTGACGTATTTGTACGTAGGGTTTGAAAGCGAAGAAAAATGAAATGGAACGAAAAGAGAAGAAAGAGTGGGATATTCTTTGTTCTGCGATGCAATGCAACGACGGAACTCAGACTCACCTTCCCACGTCTAGAAGCTTATGTTATGTCAGAAGGGATTCACTTTTGACTTTTTCTTTTTCTCCCATCTTATCTCATCTGCAATGCAATTTTGTTTCTTGCTAAAACGCCAATCCCTTCAACTCAAATTTATTTTATTACTCTATTCTTGCTAAAACTTGTTTTTTTCAATTTTTATTATCATATTTTACCACTTTCGTATATTTTACTACAAATGCATTAAATTCGTAACACGATTTTAATGTCACAGAAGAATAATGATAATGAAAAGTGGTCAAATGTATCGTTAAAAAAAATAGATTTGTTACAAAGATTAACGATGAATTAATAGGTTATCAACTGAGTATATGGCAAGTTAACTTTTAAATGTAAAGTGACATTAGATGAAATATATAATGTCGTGGTTTTTAGTTTTCAATTTTTTTAAAATTAAAATTAGTTTTTCTTAAATAGTTTTGAATCTTAACTTTATAATTCATTTAAAATACATCAGCATTTTGGCATTCCTGTTATCATTCAATTTAGCAGCTGTTTTTGCCACAAAATTATAGAAGAACTATTGGGTAATTATTTCATAAGAGAATGATTAAATTTGCAGGTTCTTTTTTTTTTTTTCAATTTATAGGCCACTTGATTAGTTTATCTGATTAAATTTAATTATTTGATGCGCTTGATTATAATATTTTTAAATATTACTAACTTTGATTTGATTAGTTAATGGACATAACATATGACTTGAATTAAAACATTGTGATTTTTTCCTAATGTTCCCGTTAATTTCTAAAAACAAAATTTTACATAATTATCATTGTAATTGTCATGCTTCACAGTCATATCTAGTTATTTTACTTTCATTTTATAAACATCTAATAATACATTTAATATAAGTTTTATTAAAATTCAGATAAACATTATACACATGCATAATAGATAGACATTTTTCATGTCAGTTTACAAAATTCAGTTCATTAATCGGATAATTTTATCGAATATTCTTTCAATTCAATGAGCTAAATTGTCTCTTTTATTTTCCCACTCCTAGTAACTTTTTAAATTTGTAACATTTTAGCTTCAGAACGTGTCAGTCGAATAAAAATGGGTAACTTCAGTAACTAACAGTTGCTTAGTGTCGACTAACCTTGTTTTCTTAGCCCAACACCTTCTTCTCGTCTCTACCTAAATTTCAAAATCAACCACGCAAAATAGTTTCACAATGCACCGAGCAGACATGCCAATTTTAACTGTCTTTCATAACTATCAGCCAAGCCAAATGTCCTTGATTACCCGATAGTGTGAACAGTAAGTAATCGGGGCAGTAACAAGCAACACACAGAATTCCTTACCAGCCACAGAAAGAATGATGCAAATTTGTAAATAGATCTATCTCTTTATTATCAGCTTTCAGTTGTTTGAGTGAAATCAGATAAACCTGATAATTAACTTACATAAAGAATCAAAGAGAAGAAGAAGAAGAAGAAGAAAAAAAAAAACACTAGAAGCTTATGGGCACTGGCCAAAAAATTGGGGTCGTCGCACTCTCTTGATTATGGATTAAAGAGCTTCCTGAAAGGCCCATCTTTCCTGTCTTTGGCAGCTTCAGTTAGAGCTAGGAACCGCTTGAACCCAGTGGTGGCAGCTCCTCGTCCAAGTGCAGCAGCCCTAGTTAGAACATCCTCTCTCGACGCTATGAGTCCAACCGCAGAGGGGCTAGGGACCACGGGAGCTACCGGAGGAGCTGCTGGCACAATTGTAGGAGCAACCTGGGTTTGCTTAATTCCAGGCCCAAGTTTGTTGAAGTCATCAAGAATGCTTTGTTGATCCGCTTTTTTCAGACCCTGAAAACACAACTCATAAATCATCCGAACATGAAAAATAACTCACAAATCATGCATTCAATCGCATCTGAATAACCAAAATAATTAGCATAAAGTGATAGAATCCTAAACAAAGCTTGAACCAAATATTAACTACTATAGTTAATTGAACAAGCTATTTGAATTCAATTTATTTTATATATCTTACAACTGATTTTAGGCATTCAATCCTCCTCATCAATCTCGATTCTCCAGCAATTATATCAGTATTTTCATATAATCCATAAATAGATTACTACCTTAGATGACCCAAAATTACTGAAGTGTACCTAGGATGAATAAAATAAGCAGAAGACTCCCAGAACGGGAAGACAACATGGTGAGGGAGTAGAAAGAAGGGGAGGGAATTAGTGAGGATTTAAGCTAAGATAGACTAAGAGAGAAGTGGGCATGAATTTGGTAAGGTTTTCGAAGAGAGACTAGCAAATTATCGAAGAGCTTTTGCATCTTTTCATTTTTCATTTTATGATCTATACCCGTGTAATTGGGATAACTACCACTTTTCCTGCACCAACATACCAGGGCTCCTATCAGATTACTTGTTATAACATTTTAATTTACTAAAGATGTAATTGAATTAGTGATCCTTGATCTGCTGCAGTAACAGATTTGCTAAAATTACTAATGTTCACAAATTGATTCTTCTAAGTGCTTCTATATATGTAAGCCCCTCAAGTTTGCAATATAACATTACATCTTTCCTAAGATGTGAAGAGTAGCGATCCTTGATCTGCTAGTGACAGATTTGCTAAGAATACTAATTTTCACCAATTGATTCTTCTTCTAAGTGCTTCTTTGTTAGCTCCTCAAGTTTCCAATATAACATTACTTCTATCCTAAGAGGGTGATATTTGCTTATGACTGTTTAGCTTGAATTAATGACCCAAATTGGTAATGAACTGGGTAATTTTGTTTAGTTTAACCATTAATTTATTTTACATATTCTATAAGAAGAACCTTGACAGATTTCATCTCAATAATCATAGGCCCAGAACAAACAAAATAATGCAAAACCAGCAATCAATCAACTAGAGATTTCGATAGAACTAGCTAATTATAACCTTAAGCTCCAGGATGCGTTGAAATTCCATGGGTGTACCCTCAGGTAGCAATGCACGGTAAGTATCTGCTACAGAATCAACTGGAGAAAGTATAACCTGAACACGGGACATTCACACAAATTTGTCAGAAGGAATAATTTTATGCTTGGCTTTGATTTATTTTTAGGTTGAAGTCTCTTTCTTTTCATAAACTCCTTCAATTATATTTTGATTATAAGATGTTTTTAACACCAAATAAGCTATAACCCAAACACATCAAATTATTTTACATAATAACGTTTTTAATAATAAATGGACAACAAACCTTCAAAAGGGCCTCAGCTTTGCTCATCTCACGGCTCACAAACTTGGAATAACTGGCAGCACCTGACGTCTATCACAAAAAAATAAAAAATAAAAAACAGCCAATTAGTCTAACGAGAATAACAGATGACAAGCATCAACAAATTTACAATTAGATATGCAAAAAGAATGCCATTTTCACTATTAACTTATTTGACAATGGATTCTAGACTGCCTGAAGACAGTTTCGTCAATGCACTGCAATATAGTCATATGCATCATAAAATAGCTGGTTGGTCAAGATAGTCAGATCATTATTGTTTCCTACTAGGTCTACTGGTCTATATTAGACAACCAAATCTTATCTCACTATTTTAACACCTCTCATTTTCGTGAACTGTAATGCAAATTAGAGAAGAAACCATATATTGATTGATATCTAAGCATCACTACCACCTGAAAGATAGAAAACCTGTAAAAGCTGAAAACTCATTTCAGTTTTTATTCTATTTGGTTTGATTCTAAAATATCAATTTCTGGTCCAGGTTTAAGTGTATTCTATCTTTGAAAAATTATTATCAATACTGTCCATCTCAAAAGCTAGAGGTGGAAATTTTTAAGTGTTTCTTGTAAAAGAGGCATTTGCACAGCAAGGCAAAAATCCACACAAAAAAAAAAAAAAAAAACCCCTTAAAATGGAGGTGCTGAATTAAAGATAGGCAAGGGATAGAGGGACATGTGGACATCAAACCAGTAAAGGTTACCATGATGGTGATATTTCTTGCAGTAAATAGAAACAACATCACCAAGTTATATTTAAGCAGTAGAAACTATGGAAGTACAAATGAATATCACCTGTCTACCAAGGGAAGGAACTTCAAGAAGGATTGTCTTAACAGCTTGGGTATCCAATAGCATCTGCAGAAATCAGTTCAGTAGTTTATTAACATCATAAATTCGGTTGCAAGAGTTCCTTGGAAAACAGAGATTATTATCCTTAAAAAGTTTATGAAATAACAATAATACAGTTTAACAAAAAAAAAAGGAGCCTAGTCAATATCAAAACCCAAAGAATGGAGAGCCATACAAAAGGACAAAAATACTAAATACAAGCCAAACTGGTTGCATTAGATTCAACACATCTACACGAAACAACAGAATTTTATTGACAAGAAGAAGCAAAGGACTCATCTTACTACATCAAATGTTTTACTGCAGTCACGATACAAAATAGATTAGAATAATTGTGTTATTTTAAATATAAAAATTTGATGATAATTGCTATATTTTCTTGTTTTTAATGGACTTTATCTTTTTATGAAATCTAGTTTAAGGAACTTTATATTTTGTTAAGACTATATATCTAAATAGGATTTATCTAGGGTTTTATTTTATCTATGATTTATTATCTTTGGGTGATAAATACCTTTTGGGTGCATAGCATAATTGTAATTGATGTCCTTTATTCAGAGAATTATGTAAACTTGAGTCAATGGAGCATTCCACCCTAAAGGAACAATCCAGGATCAGGGGAGGACCCTCCAAAGGGAATACCCTTTTAGTTCATTTGTGGTGTACCTTGCCAAGAGGAACAATCTTGGCTTATAAAACAAGTGGGATCCTTTCCCTGCTAAAACAAAGGTGGTGGAGAACATATGGACTCTAAAGTCTACACCTTTCAGGTATAGACAAGAGATGATGCCTTAATTTATTAAATTACCATTTAAGAGCAACAATGAAGAAATTTCAATTTAAAACCTTTCAAGAGAGAAGCTCAGAGACATCCTTCAATTAATAACCATCTTCTGCGTTGGACATTTTAAAGGAATCTTGATAGGGATCTGAATAGGGTATTAAAATGGGGTCCTTCATTCTTTTCTTTTCTTTTCTTTTTTATTTAGTGTTACGGAAGATACCTTGTCCTCCCCATAGTACTTCCACTCTGATAAATTTCTTTGTCCGTGAAACATAAACCAGCTCACAAGTAAGAACCTGTCAAAGCTATGCTTTGACTTTACCATTCATTTAACTGAAGGAATTTATAAAAAAAAAGTAGTCAGTACCTGTTGAGCTCCAGTTTCTGATATTTGTTTGCACTTGAAAATGTTAGAATAAAAGCGTGGACCAAGAGATGATGCAAGCTGCAGATTAAAATAAGAGATTAGATTTAAAAAGTGCAACTAACTGCACACCATGTGATTATTAGGGATGAGAAAACCAACAAACTATCAGGAGATGTTATCAGGAATAAACTTCAGAAAATATTTCTGAAACAGTTGAAGATGAATATGAAAAAACAGAATGGCAAATTCAAAAGAAAAGGTTATATTAAAAAAAATAATGTATACTTCATTAATTATAAAACTGTAATTATTATGCTAGAAAAGAAACTGTCCTCAACACCAAAGTTCCATGTATTTAATCCGTGTTATAGCAAATCACCTTGTCCAGAAAGAACTGAAAGTAGATAGGTGAAAGAAGACTTCCAAGTGCAGGAATGCTAGTGGTTAGGATCAAATTTATGGCATTAACATACCTGCAAGACAATACAGTAAAACTAATGAACTTTGCCACAGGAATGATTATCATTTGTTAAATTTAATTAAGGAATTCAACTTACTCTGATTGATCGCCAACACTCTCAAGGGTACCCCAAGGGACACGTGTCATTGCAGCCATTTCGATGTCGAACTTAGTTTCCAGGCCATGCACCAAGGTCACCAGTGATTTGGTTATAACGGCCGAGAATTCATCCTATATAGTTGCATCTCTATTAGAACAAGGGCTGTAGCATGAAAAAAAAAAAAAAAAAAATATATATATATATATATATATATATATTACCAAGAGAAGGTATTTATACCTGCACTTCAGACATATCCACCCCTTCTGCATATTGAGGGTCAATTATTTTAGACACGCTTTCAGCCAGTTCACCAGCCTATCAAGTACAAAGCTAACTGTTAGTAAATCAGGCTTCAGGCATTTACTCATTATAAAATGGATGAAAAAGGTCAAAGAAACTACCGTTTTGTGGCAATATTCCGCTGAGTTTACAATGTAACAAATCACTCTTTCATCCTTATCAGATGTCTGTTCAACATTCCAGAGAATAAAAACGCAGGTGTCAAAATCTGTTTGACAGCTTGAATACACAATTCTCACTATGATGAATAACCAATTGCTTTGAAAATACCTTTATTTGTCCATCCATGCCTGTGGCTGCAGCAACAATTCCAGTGCCCCCCTTTGGGAGTCTAGCAAAGAGCTTTGTAGCATATGCTTTAAGAACTCTTTGGAAAACCTAAGATTTAAAGGGAATAAAGTCATAAACTGCATGAAGCTACACCCATTACAATCCAGTACGCACTGCAATTAAAATCAATTTGCTTTCAGCCACAAAGTTAAATAATATTGTTTTTAATACTTTAAAACATTAAACACTACTGTCAAAGATGACACATCCTTATTATTAACTTCTCTAACACATTCAGCTACTCTTAATACTTTACAATAGGCAACTCTTGAATAATATGTAGAACAAATATTTCATGTCATCACTAAATTATATCAAACAGTTCTGCAGAAAGAACATGCTGTTTAACCTGAAATCAGCCATGACTAATCCACAAGGGACCAAGAAGATATATAAATATGTAGGAGGAAAATAATATATTATCCTAACAAAACAAAACTATAAATAAGCAAAGAAACCAAACTCATCAGTACATTTATGCTCTTTAACAGTCAAAGAAATAGTTAGAAGTTAGGATATCCAGAGTGTACTCTTGACTAACACATTAACAACAATAAAAGATAATAACTTCTAATCAAACTGAAATGTCAGAAAAACACTACCTTGTCAAGCTTTATTAAGAGGAGCATTAAAATAATAACACAATGCCTTCTATTCTGCTTCTCTTAATAGTGTTCTTACTTCAATGAGTCCCATTAATTAAGTTAAAGGCCTCCTATCTTTAGAAGAGTTCAAAGTAATTGTCATACTTGGGTCAGCACACCCTCTTATCAGCAATAGATGGAACAAAACCCTTCAACTTTATTTGAGCAAGGATTTATTTTTCTTTATTAATGAAGTTCATTTGATACAATAAATAGTTCACAAACATATTTTAATTTCAATGACATTACGAGCAATAGTCCAAAATTTGGACACAGACAATAGTACGAAATTATATTTTGATTTCAATGTTATTATGAGCAATTGTCCACAATTTAGACACGTGAGTCTAGACAACTATCATAACAAGGAAAATAAAAAGGCATAAAATGAGTTCAAAGCTTATATGTACTATCATTTCTTATATGAAATAGAAATATTAAACTCTGGAGTTAAGAGTTTACCTTCAACAGATTGAATAGTGTCTGGTTCTTTGTTAAAGCACTGCATCTCTTTAAGCTTCTCTTGATTATAAGAAACAACTATGAAGCACCACAAAAAGAAATCAAGTAAATACAAAGTATAACAACAATTGATTGTAAAAAAGGGAGAATAAAATATTTAAACTATCTAGCTACATCCGTGTTGAACAAAGTTAATCAGATGACACCTATAAGAACTTCTATGCGCCGATTAAGACGTGAAATAATATAGGGACGAGAGTACTCTGCTCAACACAACCTGCTAAAAGATCAAGGGACTCACCTGCATGCTACTGGATAAAACACTACTCTGACTTCCCTCTTCAATTTCCCATGTCTCTTCCTATAGCGGATGAAACGTTTAGTCAAGGTGAAAAAGCAAAAATCAGAAGTAATCGCATATCTAAAAGGTGACGCACAAATTACCTGAACTAGTTTCTCCAGACTTTCCATTAGCGTCTTCTCTTCCAATTCTACATATACTGTTAAGTGAGGTTCAAAGCAAGATGAAATAATTCCACGGAAGTTGAACTGTCCAAACAACCCAAATGTCTGTCAGGTTTGTTTGGCAAAACAGAGTAAATAGGAAAAAAAAATAAAAAAAGAGAGAAAACCTCCAAGAAATCCACAACTACAACCAACAATAATTGTGAAATCGTGAAAATATAATCCACAGATTTCTGGGTTTCATTTATGCAGGAAACATAGGAGAAAATAACCTTGACACAAATTGAAAATTTTAAAATAAAAGTAAAGTCACAAGGTAATATATCCTTCTTTGGGGGTGTAAAAAATTACTTCGTATGTGTCACAAATTTAACTTTAAATTATTGGAAGAGCCACACAGCAGATAGCAGTGACCAAGAAAAGCAAGAAAAAAGTCACTGGAAGACAAATTAAAAAGGTTAATTCCTAAAGCATTCATATTATCATGACAACACTTCACAAACTCAACTATAAATATATGAACTTAATCTCTATCATCAATTATAGAAATAGGAAAATAGTCAAATGAGACCATACCCCAGCTCCAGGCACTGCCAAATCTTTAGCTCCACCTTTTTCCTATTTATAAAAAATTAAAACATGACAGTCATTTGATAACTACAATTTTGAAAGGAGAATAAAAAACATATGAATAAATATTGTCAACTTTAGCACTTTATCAAACATACTTCACCGTCACCTCCTTGATGTGCAGCAAGCTTTTTTTCATACTTCTTCCGGATATCCAAGGCACTATTACTAGAATTAGTCCCCCTACCTATTTCTTCAATCTCATTTGCAATCTCTCTGTTTTGAGTGCCTCCCCCAAATTTCTCAGCCAATTCATCCTCAAACTCTAAAGTTCTTTGTAATGCCTGCAAGAAATTGACAGATGAAACACTGAAAAACACAAAAATCTAGGCATTTTCATCTTTAATACAAAATGGACAGCTTGAACATTTTAACCAGCATCTATGAAATAACATAAGAACATCCATCTACATTTATTTTATAATTAAAAGTCATGGGACGGAAACAAGAACGTGTAGCTGCAATATTTTAAGTAATTATTATAATAGAATTGTCACTATTTTATTATTTAATGGCTTACCAATAACAAGGTTCCGACATCTGGCTTTTCCTTTAGATTAGCAAGAATGTCCTCAAGTTGTTTTCTGTAAAAACAAGTATCATGAAAACAATCATGTTTTTGTATACAATAACCCTGAACTAAGTTTAGTACATATGAAACAACAAAATATTCTGTAAAATGATTAATTCCATCACAATTTTTTGGAAAGCCAAAACATAACAAAATAACAACAAAAACAACCAAAATATTTTGGCAAATAATTGGAAATTCAAAGTCAGACAGACAGATGGGAAATGAAGCTCAAGTAACACTCCAAACAGCTGGCAATAAATTTCTTCATATTCCATGAACTAAAATGTCAATTCACAACAAACTAAAGGTGAACATGTTTTACTATGACCATGGTTTCTTTAATGGAGAAGGTGTGAATGATAAATTTTTATATAACTTGTATTAATATGGTTTGTGTAAACAAACAAATAACATACCTCGTCTTCTTACAAAATAGGATACAGAGCCGATATGAAACATGCCATGAAGTTGGAAAGATTTTCCAAATTTCTTCATTTGATCTCATTCGGCGCTTAATCCATGCATATCTTCGCTCAGTTTTGTCCAACTTTGCAAGCTCTAATAGTGTGGAAAAGAATTAAAAACCAAATATAGACATTTGATAAGAACTATCAATAAATTACACAAAATTAATGTAGCAGATAAATCAAACATACCAGCTCCTTCAAAAATCTGTTCATATGAAGTGAGCTCCCTATTGCAGAAATTATTTACCAACTCTTCCCTTACAGAAGGCTCTAATGCATCAACAACCAGGCAGGCATCAGACAACTGCTGTAGTAAATTTGTTTCTTCTGTCTCCTTTCCAGTACCTAAGCTGAGACAAAAACAGAAAATCGAGGAAGCCAGTTACACATAGCCTCTTTCTACAAACAGCTTCTACATCTAGTACAGTTAATAACATGCCACAAAACAAAAATATTAGGAACAATATATAGATGAGAAATCTAAGTGGACATTGTATATCCACTTCATATTGTAGTGCCCATTGAGATTTCTAAACAGAGCAGAAGATGGAAATCAGTGAGAATAATATACCTAGAAAAATCAGAAAACACATGTGACTTGAGTATTTGCTTGATGTTCTTAAACTTCTCCCTCAGTTCTACGATCTTGGGGATATCCCTATAGGCCTCAAAATGACTACATAACTGGTTCACTGCCTGAAATACAAGAGGACAATGGATAAATTGAAAGATAAACAAAAGCAAGAAGTTGGGTTTACAGATTATTAGTTTAACAAACAAGCATAGCTTTCAATATCAGATATATGAAAAATTAGGACCATAAACCATGATCAGATACTGAAGTGCAAATAAACGGAAGTAGACTTCTAGAGTGTAAGTGTGTTTGAGCGAGTTTTTGCACTTAGCATCATGTTTAAGCACCAAATTCCAGAGAAATAAGAAATGATCGCTTCTTCATTCAAAACGAAGCTGGACAAAATAAACAATTACCTCTTCAAAATAAGTTGAATAAAATCTGCACTTGATAGCAGATGATTTTAATTTTGCAAAAATGATTCTGGTTAAAATTGAATTTGAAATGTAGTAATTTATGTTTCGAAACTTGGTAAATCAAAAGTAAGTTAGTAATGAAACTTAATATAAGATTCTCAACTAAATATAAAAGTTTCTTATGCTAGAATCATGTTTAATCGCATCTGCCAGTTTGAAAAATAAACCAAAAGCTTTTCCAGATATGTGTATGTATAGTAATGACAAAATCCAATTGCAAGCTGCATACACATGTTTAGGTGCCTGCATTCACACAAATAGGTAGCCTATACAGCAACAACAACAACCAAGTCATATCCCACCAGCTGCAGAAACAGTAACTTATTCAAAGCAAAAAGTGTAGACTCAAAAGCAAAAAATCAATATGAAGTGATTGCTATTAGAAAAACAACTAGTAAACCTAACAAGGTTTCATTACCAGAGTTGGAAAATCCAACAGCCTATTGCACGCCCCCTCTCTCTCCCCCAAATAAAAAACAACAGCCTATTTGTTGTACATCCTTAGGAAATCCATAGAGATGAGCAATGTTAGAAAATTTCTACAATAAAATGTCTATACATTATCCAGTCTTTTTATCATTTGAATAAGATGAATTGAATGCAAAAAATGTTAAACGGAGACACCTCTGATGAGAAGACACCGGATTAAATCAGTTCAGTTTTCATAAAAATTCTCTAAATAATTCCAAAGATAATATCTACAATGATGAAAATGTGTTCTTATACATCAAAATAACTACATTTCCTCTTCCGTGCAAAATGAAATATGCAACCTGACTCAATCAACGATCCTTCAAAATTCTTTAGTGAACTAATTTCCCTCTCTTATCACTAGATGTAAAGCGGGAAAAGATATGCATAAACAAGACAATCAAATATTATTCTTTGTAATCAATGATTACAGCACAAAAGTTAAAACCCTAATCTTTGCAGAGGCAACTAAAAGCCTCAAACTGCTAAACAACTAAAAAGAAACGCCACTTCAAGCTCCAATACAAATACATCACAAACTAACACAGTAATCATAAATATCATCAGTTAATCACGCAAATGTGTACAATGCGGTAAACAACGGTAAACAGTGCAGTAATGATATTGGATACCTCCAGCTGTGCAGCTGCTTCTTTATATTGACGCTTTGAAGCCATCACTTGAAGCTGTTCAACAGCAGAGACTGCCATATAATAGGTAAGCTTGTTGAAATAAAAGATCAAAAAATGTCTATGCGTCTAAAAATACATAAAGCATGCAAAAAGCCTAAAAAACAGACGCGGCATTTTGCATTTGTAGGTTAAATCTGCGTTGACTTGGTTTTAAATGTTTACATTAGAAACATAGTCTAATGGTTAACTCAGTGCCGATGTTACTAAACTTAGACAGATATACAAGTACAGTTGCAAGCAACCCCTACTAACGAACCACTTGTATTAAGTTCAATTTTAAAATGGTAAACCGAGCACTTAAGAACCATTAATAAACAACCGTTTCTTTTTTCACCAAATAAAAGACGTAAAAGAAAGATTTACCGAGCATTGTAAGACGATGCAGTGCAGTAATTGTGGTAGTTATATGCTTCTTCGCAAAATCCAGTTTCTTAATGTCACGGCATATTTCTTGAACCATTGTTTCACTCTGCACAGCTTTAGTTTTTATCTCTCGGATCTTATACATAAGCTCCTGCATTCACGAAACAAGGCACTGATAAAAAGTACGCGATGTAACACAAAGGTAGAAGCAGGAACTAGACGACTTCGAACGGGCGCATACCTCAACGGCACGTGTGGCGGCGGCGAGATCTTCCTTCGCCTTAGTTCCTGAATTACTCTGAAATCAGAGAATCGGAGGCATGAGAGAGCGAAAACGCGAAACAAATCCAAATCAGGCGACGTTATTTGAAGAGATTTTAACACCTGTTGGCGAACGGCAGCGAGGATTCCGGCGTCGACGGTGCGAATCTCGTTCTGGATTTTCTGCATCAGCGGCTCCACCCCTGAGAGAGACGCCTCTGCATTGCCAAACGTGGATTTGAGAAGCGAAACGTTGGAATAAAAGTGATTGCGAGTGAGATTGGGATTTGTAGCGTACCGTTGGGGAACATCTGGTTGATGTACTCCAGAGCGCTTGATTTGTCCATTGGTGAGGGCGAGAATGAGCGCAATCAGAAAAGCATGAACGGTGTTGCCGATGGTAACGTTGGATCTCTAAATTGGCGTGTTCGATGCCATTGATGCCCTTCGATTTGTGACGGATCCAATTGCAGAGGTGTCTCCGACGCTGATGATACTGCAACTTTTCTTTCTTCTTCAACCTCTGGACACTGCTCTAATATGTCAAACTCAAAGGACTCCTCATGAAATTTTCATTAATAGAAACCAAAATACTAAAATGTACATGTTTATTATTTATTTATTTAAATTTATTTATTTAAATTCATTTATATAAATTAAGTTATATATATATATATATATATATATATATATATATATATATATATATATATATATACAACATTCTCCTTGAAGTACACTAATAATGTCAATACTTTGAACTATTGATTTTTTTTTTCAATTTCATTTATTATCTCATAACAATCTATATAAAATTAATTTAATGTAATGAGTGAGTGTCTTTTATTGTACATTTTCTATCTTTAATTATTCCCTCTATGTGACACAATAATAATGATTTGATAATAAATTAAATAAAAAGTTAAAATTGATATTAATCGAATAAAAATTTTAGATAAATATATTTTAACGTCAAAATTTAATAAAGTTGGTTGACAATAATAAAATTATTAATTTTTACACTTAATAATTTATTGAAGACCTTTAAATAATGTTTTTTTTTTTACTTTCACATTGTGTTATTTTGCAAGACGTTTACTTGTAAATATTGAATTTGGATGTGTTTTATATATTGTTTGGACTCAAGAATAAATATGAAAAAACGAAAAAGAAAATAATTAAAGAAGAAAAATAATGAAAAGTAAAATGATTTGAATTAAAAAAGTAAAAATAAATAAAGAGTAATTATTTTAATAATTTTATGTATAATTTTATTTTCTTAATATTTAAAAAAAGTATAATATCATCAATTATGTTCTTCAAAAATAATCATTATAAAATAACGTTTCTTAATTTTCTTCTCGAAACAAAAATAAAATAAATTTTGAAAAACAATAAACAGACGCAATTATTATACATTATAAAAACAATCGTTTCTCTCCAAATCCCCACTAATCTCTCGTCGGATCCAAAGACGAGCCCATTGTTTCTGAAAGAAGGGAAAAAATAAATATTTTTTATTTTGTTTCATAAGCTTGAAACAATTTTTAAAATTATAATCAAATTTGGGATATTAATTACAGTAGACACCATAATGATGATTGGTCAATAATTCACACATTTCAAAAACAAGAAACTTTTTATCAACTTAATTTATTTTTTTGGGATTAAGTGATGTCTTGTTCTCCTATTCTAACGGGAGATGAGTCGAAACAAGTAAATAACAATTCAACGTGAGAGCAAAATCCACGGAAAAGTCATCGACAAGCACTCTTGAATTGGAGGTTAATAACAGAGAAGGAATTGTGGAGCTCGAAACTGCATCATGAATTGCTCTTTATTTGATACTTTAGCAGTGAAATAATAACAGCAAGAACGAGCAGTATATCATATACATATATACAAATGAATCTTTCACATAAACATGGTGTCAGTATTACAAGGAGACCTTACAACCTCCATTTAAGAAACATCTGTGCAGTAGAGTAAGTTTCTATTTTGATTCAGGTTGTGTTTCCAGGACCAATAAGGACATGAATCTAATATTCTTCAATTCTGACTGGTACCTATTGCCATTTTAAGTTCCCGCCATACAGCCTCTGCACAGATCAAGGCCACATGTTAATCGTAAATTTGTGATTATGAATGCCACAAGCCAAGCTAACAAATGTATAAATAATAAGCAAACAACCATAATTACATAACTGAAATTATATAAGTAATAATCAAACACTGTAAAAGCAATAGCCATAATTAATCTTGGGGAAAAAAGAACAACTTTGTACTTTTAAAAAGATTAACCATTGACTACATACAGCTACACTAGGATACATTCCTCTCTGCATGTCAGACACAATCACAACGGTACTATTTCAGAACATGCTACTGATGAAATTGGTCGTGAATAAAATCATATGAACTACTTGTTACGAGTCAGAGAGGAATGGATAGATGAAATGTTTTGGAGGAATAGGAAAAGAGTTTATTACTGCTACATCTGTGAACATCCAATCCTAACCAATGATCTAAAAGAATGAGGAGTTGATAGCTTACCCATTTCTATATGGACACTGCCGGGTCAAACATGCTATACGATGCTTCTATCTTTGCAAGTAAACCAGAACCCCCCAATAGCAGCTAAGTCTCACTTCCGTCTAGCTGAACAATCAAGCAGGTAGTGACCTGGCATGTTGGTTGAAGCCCGGAACATTGATCCAACTATTCCCAGCTTCTTTGACCAACCCTTTTGTCCTCATGATGCTTCTCAGCTCATCAACACGATCCCACCTGCCAATGGTTGCATAGAAGTTTGATACAAGAACTATATAGCTAGATTTATTGGGTTCTAACTGCAAGAGATGCTTTGCAGCCAATTCACCTCTTTCAACATCCTGATTAAGACTGCAAGCATTCAACAACGCTACCCATACTCCCGCAGTAGGCCTAGTACCCTGTTCAACCATATTGTGGTACGCAGACCATACCCCTTCTATGTTACCCGCTCGGCCTAAGATATCTATGTAGCAAGCATAGTGCTCCGGATCTGGTTCAAGACCATACTTCTCTCTCAACAATTTGAAAGATTTTTTGCCTTCCTCCACCATTCCAGAGTGACCACAAGCCGATAAAACAGACAAAAAAGTAACGGAATTCGGCAACACCTTCCTCCCTTCCTCCATCATCTCCTGAAACAGCAAAACAGCTTCACGCCCTTGCCCATTTCTTCCATACGCATCAATCATAGAAGTCCAGGAAATCACATCCTTCTCACAAATTCCATCAAACAACGACCGGGCATGCAAAACCTTCCCACATTTCGCATACATATCTAACAGGGCATTACACAGCTGAGTCTCAAGAGTAAAACCCAGCCGAACCGCAACACAGTGCATCTGCTTCCCTGCCCACAAATCCAAATTTTCAGAGCACCCCACCAGAGCACTGGTAAGCGCAACGGCATTGGGCCTCACCAAGCCCATAACTTTAAACGCATCACTGTACCGCCTATTCCTAACACAGCCAGAAACCAAAGAATTATACATCATATCATCCTTCCAACCCTTCAAACTACAAAACACCTTCAAAGCATCATCAGTACACCCAACACTGGAGTAAAAATCAATAAGAGCAGTGCTCAAAACAACCATATCACGCCCCATACTGACCACCAAACCATGAACCTGCCGTCCAAGCTCCAACGCCTTCAAAGAAGCACAAGACTTCAACGCGGAACACAAAGTAAACCCACTAAGCTCAACATTCTCCCTCCCCATAGCCCCGAGAACCCCAACAGCCTCAAACGGAAGATCGCACCGCAGAAAACACGAAAGCAAAGCGTTCCAAGCGACAACATCTCGGTGACCCATTTCGTCAAATACCTTCACTGCTTCATCCAGAGACCCACACTTCGAGTACATGCCCACCAGCGAGGTTTTCGCGACGGTTCCGGAATCAGCACCGGTTTTGAGCATTTGAGCGTGGACTTGTGTCCCGAGATGAGAGATATGCAAGAGAGGACAAGCGCGCAAGACGGAGGTGAAGGTGTAGGCGTCGACGTCGGCACGCGCGCGACGTAGAGAGTGGAAGAGGATCCATGCGGAGACAGGGTCGCCTCGGCGAACGTGCGAAGCGATTAGGGAGTTCGTTTGTGAAATGTGTTGGGGGAAGTGAAAGTGCGATGATGACGAAGAGTTAGCTGCGAAAGTTTGGTCGTGCAAAGAATGGTTGAGGATTACGATGACGTTGGAAATGAACGTGGAAGTCGTTTTCTGTTGGAGGTTAGACGCTAATGGACGAAGGAACATCTTCGTCCAGTGCTCCTGCTCTGATAATTCATTACATTACAGGTTTTGAAACCATGAAGTTACCTTTATATTTGGTGAAGAACATTTTTCCATAAGACTATCGTCACTTTTAACAAATCTTTCATATATTATTTAGTTGTTCTGCAAACTTGAAAAAAAAAAACAATATTTAAATTTTGCGTTGGAAAATCTCTGAAAATAGTCCTAAAGTTAACATGGTATATCATTTTTGTCAATACATGTCGCAACTGGATTTTGTAATATCAGTAAAAATAAATAAATAAAATGAGAAGAAAAAGGTGTTTTGTTCCCTGAGAAGACAAAAATTATTCTTACTTCTAATTTTTTTTTTTTTACGGATATTACTTTTTTATGTAATTTTTCTTTTTATTTTCTATATACCAAACAAAATTTACCATTTTTGCTAAATTTTCCTAATGAGAGAAAAAGGCTGAAGAAAGTGAGATGAGAGCATGATTCACATGTTCGCGTAAATGAGTTACTCCAGCTACTTCAAATAAAAATATTAATTGAAAAAAATTTATATAATTTTATTATACTTCCAAAAAAAATACTACTATTTAATAGTAGATAAAAAATTTGTTATCCCCAACTACTTTAATATAATGATTGATAAAATATTTGGAAGATGAAAAGATCATTTTGTTTTCTTAATCCATCAAAATACATATAATATTTTAAATAAGATAATTAATAATGATTTGACATTAAAATATATTAAAAATTATAAAATAAAATATAGTTAATAATCAATAATATAAATAGATAAATAAATAGATGTAATAATTAAATATAGTTAATATTTATTATTTGTGAAAATAGAAAATTGTTATTCAATGCATAAGAAGTTCTTATGCATCCAAAATAACAAAATCATGCAGATGAAGATTGGACCAAGTAAAACCTTCTAGAGAAATCGCTTTATAATATTAAAGAAAAAAAAATCACGACAAGAAGGAATGACATGGATACTTATTTTGTATTTACTGCATGTGATTTTTTCAAAATACTGGTAATGTTCATGAGTATTAAATAATTTTAAAAATATAACATAATTAATAAAAATATTTTTATAAGTTTTATCTATTATTAGATTCCATAAATTGTCTATTTTAAGATGTTAATTCATAAGTATTAATGAATGCAAAGTTAAATAAATATATACTAATAAGTACCATGAGTACAAATAATGTAGTCTGGTCTCATTTACTAAACAATAGTTTAAATCGACCACAAATACTAATTTAGATATTAATTTTTGTATTTGAGAAAAGTATACAAATATTTGTCTCTTCCTAACCTATTATTTTTCTAAGATTTAACTTCAGATATTTATTGTTGAGTCTTTTTTTTTTATCCAGGAAGGATTTGATTGGTTGGTACAAGACTTTAATTTAATAAAGTGTGTCTATTATTTATTTTTTGTTATTTTTACTGTGACCATTTTCTTTTACTTTCCCTGTTTTTTTTTATCGTTTTAATTTCCAGATAGTCAAATGGTTTTTAATAAAATAACATAATTTTTTAACCTTTAAGTTTATATTAAATTAAAAATGCAAAATTTTATTAATGCGATTAAATACAGTACTGATTTCCCGGCATCACTTTTTATATTAATTTTGGTTAAATAACATAATTTTTTAACCTTTAAGTTTATATTAAATTAAGAATGCAAAATTTTACTAATGCGATTAAATACAATACTGATTTTTCCACATCACTTTTTATATTTAATTTTGGTTAAATAACATAATTTTTTAACCTTTAAGTTTAAATTAAATTAAAAATGATTTTTTTTATTAATGTGATGAAATACAGTACTGATTTTTGGACATCACTTTTTATATTTAATTTTGGTTAAAATCATTTTTATAAAATAAATTTTGTCAATTTTTATATTATATTATATATATATATATATATATATATTAAATTTTATGATTTTTACAATAATTCTTTTTACTAGTTAGCTGAATAAAACTTCAATATTTAAATGCCAAAAAAAAAACACTTTTTAGGCAACTTTAATAAATGTTACTAACAATAACAAAATATAATTTTACAACTATAAATAATAAAACGGGTTTTGTTGGTCTATTAATCTATCTAAAAATTATAATTCGATAATCTTGATGTATTAGTTTATTTAAAAAATTATTTCTATGTAAAAATTATATTTTTATTATATTATTACTATATATAAATATATTATAATTTAAATTATAAAAATTAATTAATTAAATTTATATTATTAATTATTTTAATATATAAATATAATATTTTTTAATTTAATTAATAAAATATTAATTAATAAATAAAATTTTAAAATTATTTATATAATTAAAAATATATTTAAACAAAATACATAAAATAATATTAACAAATTAGTACACTCATCCGAATAATTTTAGAACGGACTCCATCTCATCTTAAAAGTTTTTTACCATTGGTACTTAGTAATTAAAATTATTCAAATTAAAAGTAAAACACACCTTTTGTGATGTAATAGTGTAAGGAAAAAGTCAAAAGTGCAATTTTTCTTGTTAGGTGACTACACTAAATACGAAGTTGGATAGGCAAAAATGAAAATTTAACTCGTCTGTGTTTTATGGGAAAAGTTTATATTATGGTTTAATAGATATCACTAATCAGTAATTATAAAGACTTTTACATTTTTAATTAATTAAAAATGTTTTTATATGATTTTGAGACATATGTAGGATAGTTTTTTTTTTTAATAAATCTAACATTAGATTCTTTAGAATGATAAATTCTAAAATTAAGATTTATTTATTTATGAAGAAAACATATTTAGATAATCATTTGAGGTAAAAAATATGTCTAATTAATCTAAATATTGAGTAAATTTTATTTACCTAGAGAATTTATTTTTCATGCGCAATTTAGGATTATTGAATTTTTTTAAAAGAAATTACTATAAAAGCAAATTATTTAAATTTACAGTTATACACCAAATTTATGGGTTTATTTTTTATTTTTTTTACTATTATTTAATGTTTCGTGCAGAAGCGGAGTCCAAGAAGCAAGAGTGGAGAAACAGAACTGAAAGAGGAAAACGAGAAAGAGAGAATCTCATCAAAACATAGTTGTTGAGAGAACTTCGTTCTGTTCTGATTCGGCAAGAATTCAGCGATCCAATCACAATCGGAAGCAATCTGTTAATTGCTTCCGGCAAGGACAATGGCCTCGGAGATTGAAATTTCTCCGGCCGATGCTCGCAAGGCTCCCGGCAAGGATCAGCAAGCTGCCGGCGTCGGAATCCTTCTGCAGATCATGATGCTCGTCCTGTCCTTTGTCCTCGGCCATGTTCTCCGCCGCAAGAAGATTTACATCGTCCCCGAAGCCAGTGCTTCTCTTCTCATAGGTACCCTCCCTTTCTTCAACCTTTTATTTTTTGTTCTGTTTTTTTTTTTCAGCTTTTTTTAACCTAACATTCACTCTCCAGGGTTAATTGTTGGCATTCTAGCTAACATTTCAGACACCGAGACTAGTATCAGGTTATTTTCACTAATCATAGACTCTGTTATTATTTTTCTTGTGTTTATTTTCTGGAGCTGATTTGGATTGTGAAATTTATGCAGGGCGTGGTTCAATTTTCACGAGGAGTTTTTCTTCCTGTTCCTGCTACCTCCTATCATATTATATCCTCTGATAAATGCTGTTATTTCTTTTTTTCTTTTTTTTTTTTCTCTTTGGTTATTTGTTTTATTCATGTCTTGTGGCTACCCTACCTAGTGTTTTTCTTGACTCTTCTTACTCAGTCTGGGTTCAGTCTCGCACCTGTGAGTTCCTCCACTGTGTTCTTTTGTCTAGACTTGTATTTTTAGCGTGTTGTTTGGAAACAAAGCTAGAACAGCTTTTGAGAATTCGTTTACTGATAAAAAAATCCCTCTATATTTTCAATAAAGAAGCTCTCAGAAACTCTGCTGGGCTTGAACCCAAACAGGTCTTCTGTTCTCTTAGAGAAGCCTTTAGACTCGGTGTTAACGATGCTATTCTTTTGCAGAAACCCTTTTTCTCGAATTTTGGAGCAATTGTCACATTTGCTATATTCGGCACCTTTATAGCTTCAATTGTTACGGGTATCCTGGTGTAAGTTTTTTTTTTTACTTTCCTTATGGTGTAACTTATTAGTGTTCTTATTAAGCTAATCTGGAAAAGCTCTCTTATAACTTATCGAATATTTTTTTTTTTAACATTGCATAAGCTAATCTAGAAAAAACTCATTTTGTTTTTCTTGTTTTTTTCTCCTGAAAGTGTTTATGGAAAAACTCATCTGAACATATCCTTATCAAAATCTTGGATAGTGGTGCTTAACAACTAACTTTGAAAATGCTATTGAGGGATAACACCATTTAAATGTTATGAAGGTTTTGGTCGCAGTAGAAGTAGTGTTTTTGCTGCAATCCTTGATATTATGCGAAATTGTTGACAAATGCAGTCATAATTGTGGTTATAGTGATCTTTAAAACTTTGACCTTGCGGTCGCAGGTTTTAGAATCTCAGTTATTGTATTCTACACATAAATACTCATAATTAAAACAAAAGGCCCAGAATTTACGAAATTTAAGATAAATAATAACTCTCAATAAGTTAAATACACAATCAACATCAATCTTGAATCAATGTGAACATAATATTGATGTTAAAAGATGACATAAGGTAGTGAAAATAATTTAAAAAGAATATAGCAAATTTGATATATTGTGGCCATCGTGTGCTATTGACTGACTATCAGGATTATTTTCAATATATTGCTTATTATTTTTCCTCTATGATGCAGCTATCTTGGTGGTTTGCTGTTTCTAATGTATAGGCTACCTTTGGTTGAGTGCCTGATGTTTGGTGCTCTTATATCAGCTACTGATCCTGTTACTGTTTTGTCCATATTTCAGGTGATTTACCTCTTTATTTTTGTACTTCTCTGGTTAATACCTTTAGTCTGTTCCATACACATGTTTTGATATACAAGTTTGTGATACATAAGGCTCTTTAATTCAATATGCATGTCCAATACATAAGGTTGTGGAACGTCAGTAGACAGGATTGATTGGCATTCCCTCCTATGTCGGCCTGTGGTTTGCTCATGTTTCTACATTTTTCACACAAGTTTAAATCTTGGTTCATTAGATTTGGTATAATGACATATATAAACTATGAATGACAAAAAATCAGTACAAAGCTTATTTTCATTAATAGTATGTAATGGGAAAATAGCACAAAGCTTTGGTGAAGAAAATTTGAAGTTCTACCAATTTCTAATATTCTACTCCTCTCCATCATCTCATGAAGAGATGGATGAAATGGATAAGTTATGAATCATACTAGGGATTTGTGCCACAGTTATCAATCTGAGGTAGTAGTCTGAAAACGCAAGAGTGGGATGACCTCCATTATAAATTATAGAAATGCAGGATACATTCCTTAGTAAAGTTTACACACACAACCACCAATCTAGGGTCAATAAAAAATTGGCAGAATATGAACTGGCAAGTTCAAAGGAATAAGAACGAATGCAAATAGGATAAAAAATAGTCATATTAAGCGTGAAAAAATAAAGGTAAAAACAGTGGTAACTTGTGGAATATTTTACCCGAACAATGATGTTTCAGGCACTGTTGTTGAATAGCCAGGCAATGTTATTAAATGGCAGCACCATGGCCACAACAGCAGAATGGTTTGGTGAATGATTAGCCAACCTCCGTAGGCATTTTGTAAAGGGAGGTCCGCTTTGGCACTGCCATAGGTTGCAATGGCATCTTTATATGTTGGAATTTTGCCATTCTGTCATCAGCCATGATAACACTAGTTCCAGTGATAAAATTGCCTTTTTGAAGCCTTTATATCATGGTAGTGCTGCTATATCTTGTGAAAGTGGTTACTTGGACTGTTATTTGAGGCCCATAGCGGTCTAGGGCCAGTCATCTATCGCACTATAGAGTTGCTTTTGAGCACTAAGCTTTGTGATTTCCTAGTTTCTACCTGAGCTCGTCTTCTGTTTTCCTTCATAGCAATTCTGTGTATATGCATAACTTGGAACTTCACCTTTCTATTTGCAGGAGCTGGGCACTGATGTCAATCTATATGCCTTGGTTTTTGGAGAATCTGTTTTGAATGATGCAGTAAGTTTCTGTTGCTAGAGAATCTACATAATTTTTTAATGCTGAAGTGCATATATGGTTCAAAGATAGATAGTGCCAATTGATTGATCTTTTTCATTATTTTTCTAACTTTTTGTTATTTCTTTTGTCTTAACCGCCCCTCTTGCGCTATGGGCAGATGGCAATTTCTTTGTACAGGTACCTGAACTTCTGAAGTATATGATTTTTATCTGAAGTTGAGCACTATCATTCAGGTTCACTTTTAACTTAAGCATGTACTTTGCAGGACAATGTCATCTGTTAAAGCTCACCCATCTGGACAAAATTTATTTATGGTGGTTGTTCGATTTTTAGAGACTTTCGTAGGGTCAATGTCAGCAGGTCAGTCTTTACATAATGATTTGTTTGGGTGGTGGTTCAGGTGGATGGTGGAGCCTCATTGAAGAACTAGTTTTATTTTGTTAACTTTGCATCATTGATACTATTCTGTATTATTATGATTTATGAATTGTTATATTTCAGTATTCCTTAGTTGTGATTCCTTTGATGATTTGCAGGTGTTGGAGTTGGATTTATATCTGCTTTGATATCCTTTTAAATCCATTTTGTCCTATATATATTTAGTACACATCTTTTCAGATTTAAAAGTCTACATATTGTGAAACCTTGACTACCAGAACCTATTTAAGTATGCAGGATTGAATATTGACAAGTAAGTATTTAATAGTAGTAGTTTTCTTTGAGGGGATTTGCTGTTTGATGATTACATCATGTTTGGAATAAACTGATCTGAAGAATCTTATGGTTCCATTCAGTCTTCAGAACTTGGAGAGCTGTCTTTTTGTCCTTTTCCCATATTTCTCGTAAGATGTCTTCTTGGATCATTTGTTGGTAACTTTCATTCGATTTTTCTCAACTTCCATTCTTGGTGTAAAACAATACAAAAATATTTCTTTTTTAGGTACATGCTTGCTGAAGGCCTTGGTCTGTCTGGTATTGTATCAATACTGTTCACTGGAATAGTAAGTTCATATTATATATATTATATTCTGTGCTGTTTCATGTCTGTGTCAAGACATCTTTATGATTATTCTTGTGTATTGTTTTAGGTCATGAAACATTATTCATATTCCAATTTATCACAAAGTTCACAAAGATTTGCCTCTGCCTTTTTCGAGTTGATATCATCTTTAGCTGAAACATTTGTGTAAGGAGGATTTCATCTGCGGTACTTACCATGTTGTGTTTAAACATTTCCTCTGAATGATATGTTCACGCCTATTGTCTTATGTTTTACAGATTTATATACATGGGCTTTGATATTGCTATGGAGCAACATAGCTGGTCACATGTTGGATTTATATTCTTCTCCATTGTATCCTTTTTTGGCTCATAAATTGGAAGTGTTGAAATTTATCATTTATGTTATCTTAGCAATTCTTCCTTAACACATATAATAATCACTTCAGATATTTATTGGAATTGCAAGGTACTTACACTGATTGCTATCATTTTAAGTCTTTGATCACTGTGGCACGTGCTCATTTCTGGCTTTTTGGATATTTTCCCTACAGCAATATTTGCATACATTTTAAGCATGTTTATATGCTTGCATTCTCTTGGAAGTTGTAAATTATATTGTTGGTTGCTACGTGCAGGGCTGCAAATGTCTTCTCTTGTGCTTATTTGGTGAATCTGGTCAGACCTAGTCATCGAAAAATACCTCTAAAACATCAGAAGGCTCTTTGGTATAGTGGTAAGGAATTAAACAACACATAAATCATGGAATTTACCGTGAAAGTTGATTAGTTCTGTCAATAAAACAAATTGCTTCTTGCCTTTGGCGTATTCTTAAGGCCATGCCTAAGTTGTTCACTTTGTGCAAATGAACAGGACTTCGAGGAGCAATGGCTTTTGCACTAGCTCTGCAATCAGTTCATGATCTTCCAGAAGGACATGGACAGACCATCTTTACTGCAACTACTGCAATAGTTGTTTTGACGGTAGACACACCCTTGTCCATTCATTAAGCTAATTACTGTTAAAAATAAATATGAGGGTAGTGTAAGGTACTTGATAATGTTGTATATGGTGTACATTGTGAATATTATTTTCAACGCAGTGCCAATAAGAGAAAAATCTGAGTGTACGAAGAAGAGAATGTCAAGTGGATGAGTAATATAAGATCAGTGACAAATTAATGCAGGAGAAAGTTTTAGTAACATGTAGTTAAAGATTGGTCCTATTCATTTAATTTTCTTATTTGGGTTATTAGATGGTTGCCAACTTTTACCCCCACATTTTTTTTAATCCCCATCCTTGAGCAGTAATTTAAACATGAAACATTATTTTTCAGGTATTGCTAATTGGTGGTTCAACAGGTAACATGCTGGAAGCTCTAGATGTTGTAGGTGGAGATAATGATAGCCCTTTGGCTTCAGTTGGTACTATTACTGTAAGTTTTACAACAAATAATGCTATATAAGACATTTTTTGTGTGTATTCTACTTCTACAGAGTTTCTTGTCTGTCTTTGACCTTGAAATTGGAAGCATCACTCATCATTAATATTTGGAAGACGAATGACCAAATAGTTCCTTGGTTTTATAATTTAATTGTAACTTTTGTCAGTCAATAATGCTACGTTATTTTGGTTTAGTCATTTAGCGATAGTCATGCAGGCTCTTTTGCTTTCTTAAATAGCGGAAACATGCGGAAAGGGAATTCTTCTTGACTAATGCTATGTTTGGATGGAAGGAAAGAAACACGGATAACATAGTATTTATTTTGTTTGATTGGATAGAAAGTGGAAAGAAAAAGGAGGGAAAAGTTGACTTTTAAAAGGCAATTTAAATTTTTCTTTCCTTCCAATTCAAATTTCAATAATTTTCTTTCCTTCCATGTTTTCTTTATGTTTTTCCAAACAGGTCCTAAGTCGTTGACTTGGGTGGATCTAGTTTTGTAACTATGTTTAAAAATAACTTTTCCTTTTGGGAGGAGAGCCGCTTTTCTTTATGAATTGCATCTAAAATTAATTTTATCGACCACTCAATTATACAAAGACAGAAAAGAAACTCCTAGCTTATGAAGTTGAAGGTGAAGATCTCCCTGGCTAATAGAATTCTACTTACGAAACTTGCCCAACCAAGTAGCAAGTGTTTGGTATAATTATCCCTTGCTCAACTAATGGTTAAGTAAAACATGCTTCATGACATTTGCAAAGTTTTTGTAGTAATTTTGAATTTTAAGAATCCATGTCCTGTTATGAATTTTTATCATGAAATTGTTTGTTTTATTCCAACATTAGATCACAATCCATGTCCTGTTATGAATTTTTATTATGAAATTGTTTGTTTTATTCCAACATTAGATCACTCAATTTTACAGCTACAATGACCCTGATAACGGATAATAATATTTTTTGTTTTTTTGCTAGAATTTTGATGGAAACAATGGATATATTGCTCCTCCTTACAACGAAGAGTCATCTTCAGGGAACAAAATCAAAATGAAGCTAAAAGAATTCCACAAGAGGTAGTGTCTACGTTTTGAAACTGCAAATACGGTTAAATACATGCTTAATGATATTGTCTCTTTTCTTCATCATTGCAGTGCTGCATCTTTCACAGCATTAGATAAAAACTACCTCACCCCATTCTTTACAAGTCAAAATGGAGATGAGGATGATGAGGGTAAGTTTTTTATGTGAAATTGTCATTCTCACTGAAAAATTGATGAAGTAAATAGGTAGACTAGGAAGCATAGATAGACCTGGGGATATGACAGATTTTAAAAATCACAAGACAAAACGTCTCTACAATATTACATATAAAATTAATATAAAAAATCTGAAGTTGGGAGAAAATTTATGTTTAAAAATGATCATGAATCGTTTGTAGACATTACAAAATGCTACAGTTTTATTTAACTAATGTGGAATTCCAATTTCGATCAGTATATATATATATATATATATAATGTGGCTACAAGTATTTAAGGATTTTGTGCAATGAAGAATAGGCCATGAGTAGGTTGAGTATTTAGTAGTTTGTTGTTAGAAGTGTTTCAAATAATTATTTTTCATTCATGTTCTTGGACGTAATACGCTTTTAACTTTTTTTTAAAGGTAACTAGTATTTTTTTATACGTGTGCTGCTATTTTGAAGTAATTTTGTTTTGACATTAACTACATCAACGCAATTTGTTGTCCTTGCTTTTAACAGCCGAGCCTTTTACTTCTACAAGATCGGGATATCATAGGCCGAGCTCTTATTCATCATGATTTGTTCCAGACAACATCCAGACAACATACTGAATGCATTCTTGTACAGAAAATTTTCCTTACGCAATTTATAGATAGCTCGTAGGAATTGGCACCACACAGGGATCGAGTTTACCTCTTACATTTGTACACGTGAAGTCTCACTAGGTCGGCAGAGATATAATTTCATGCAGTTGATGTATACCTCTTAATTTGGATCTCACCACCACACATGTATTTTACAGGTTTTCTTAGAAAATTCTAGTTCACCCCATCATTGTGACAGTGAAATTATATCATCTCAGAATGAATACAGTCATGGAAAACTATATCTCAATAAACACATCATGGACTGTGTATGAGTCCTTATTATTTGTGCTGGATTTTCGTCACATTAAATTTTCACGGCGATCATAGGAGGCGGGTGAATAAATACTTGTGTTTGACTAGTACCAATTTAATCTTAAATTATTTTCATTTTAGTTAAAAGTAGATTTAAAATAAGCAATTTGAATATTATTACAGAAAGAAACGGTAACTTGACAAAATTAGTGCTTGTCATAAAGGTTTGCTCAAGCCAAACCAACTTTGGAGCAAAAATTTGGGTAACCAAAGGTATAATTAATCTACTAAACAACACTTTTAATCTCATTACCCATGTTAAGTACGAGTATTGGTTAAAGAATCAAATTATGAAGACAATTTTATTAATTTTTTACTGATTTAATTTTAATGAATGATATACGCAAAATAATAACATAATTTATTACTTACAATATATTCAATGTACCAAAGCACAGACCAATATCATATACAAAATATTAATGTAATAACTTTTTTAGATATTTGAAATATTTTCGTTTAAAAATTAGTATTTTTTTTTAAATACTCTTAAAACTTAAAAAAAAAACTATGAAGCATGAAGAAAAGGTAGAAACAAATTAATTAAAAATATATATTTAAGATGTAAAAAAAAAATCATAATTTTGTTAAGAAAAATAAAATTCACTAATGGTTTTCTATTTGTTTGTTTATCAAAAGTGTCTCTTTCCAGGGTCAAAGCCTAAAGTTTAATCTGTCAAAAGTCACCTTAGATTATAACTACACTAGTAAATTTGTTTAAAAAAAGCCTATATTTTAGAATTTTTTTACAAGATGAAAAAGCCCTCACTCCCACCATCACTTGAAGATCAACGACCCTTTTTATAAATGAACTAAAGCCTAGACATAGCAGAAATCAGAAAGGCTCCAAATAAGTTCGACGAGAAACAAGTGGCATTATTTATTACCAATTACAAAACAGCAATACTCACGCACGCAGCGTTACACTACAAAAACTAACATAAAAAAAGAAGAAAGAAAAAAAAAACTTTATCGATTTTTGAAATTAGAACCGTTACAACGTAAACTCACACCCCCAACGGCTACTTCTCCTTCCATTCCCACCCAAACCCTTCGTTCTTCCTCCCTCAGTCACTCAAAACGTCCGTTCATCTCTTTCTTCGCTGATTCTTCCATACCCACGCTCTTTCCTCCCCAAAGTCTCCATTTCGTGCTGTCATCCATTTGGGGTTTCCCATGGTGCAGGTTCAGATCATGCAAGACCACAACCCCGATCTCAACGCCCCTCCGCTGCCTCCGCCGCCTCCCCACCAGCGGCGCCCGAGGGTCCGCGAGGTCAGTTCGCGATTCATGTCCCCCGCCGTGCAGCGCCGCCCTCGTACGGAGCCCGATCCCGCCGCCGACGAGAATTCCGAAACCCCATTTCCAACGGGATGTTCCATCTCTCAGAGAAAACAACAACAGCGTTCGATGAAGATTTTCAAAGAGAACAACAACGGACACGAACAGGTTTCGCCACACCCTTCAAAATCGTGTTCTGGCAGAATCGGCAGTGGCAATTGCACACCTTGTGTTTCTAGGCCAGGCACTCCCACTCCCTCGGTTTACGTATCTTCGAGGTATAGACTCTCACAACAACACCATCTCCATAGCAACCATCACCATCACAGGTTTGTAAATGTCATGGCCTCTGCTGCTGAGAAATTGATGCAAGCCAGTGGGTTGAATCAGGCCAAGCCTAATGCTGCTTGCTCCAGTGATGATTCTGGAGTGAACTGCAGTGTTCAGTCACTTCCTGAATTGGGGGATAGGGATATGTTACTTCAGTCCAATTTGTCGGTGGGTGAGAAAATTGGGGGTGGCAATTGTGGGGACTTGAAGTTTCGCCACCCTTCGCCTTTGTCGCGGTCGGTTAATTTGCCTTCTTCTGGAAATGAGATGCAGCCTCCTTCTTCAGTCTTGAAGCAGCATGGGAATGGAAATCAGTTAGCTAAGTCAGGGGGGCTTAGTTTGCCACCTGTTCCTCCTCAGTGTGTAAAGCCAGCGGTGGATGTGAGGAGAGGGAAGAAAGGGTCTGGTCATCAGGAAGATGTGCATTCCCTTAGATTGTTGTATAATCGTTATTTACAATGGAGATTTGCCAATGCCAAAGCGCACTCTGCGATGAAAGCTCAGCAAGCAGAAAGCCAGGTTAGTCACCCTTTCACTTTCTTACTTGTCAATAAATAGCAAATATTGTAGTGGTTGTGACGGTACAACAGAAAGTTGCATTCATCTGGCTAAGCAGTTTGTTTTATGATCATGATTCTTTGGAGTCTAGGGGATACAATAAGAGGATGCTTGGGGTGGTTGTTTGATCGTCAGGTAGAAGGTGGACCTCTACTTTAGTTACACTGCCAAACTGGACTTAGAGGAATGCTAAAATGGCATTCATTTGCGAGTGCTTTGTTCCCCTGGAATATCTTACGTTGTGGCCGTGAGTTACTTTGTGGTTGTTGTAACTACTGGAGGCGATTGGATACTGCCATTGCAGGCTGCAATCATGGGTGTGATGTGGTGTTGTGGCTCCAAAGAATAGAGCTTAGTTATAGTGAACAATAATGAACACAAATTTAGAGTAGTTCTTTTTTGTAAGCAATATAGTTAAGCATTTTTCAGAATATGCTCTTGAGAAATTAGATCTTTTAATAAGTATAACACTTACCTTCATGTAGTAAGTGTTTATATCTGCTCAATATTTTCAATTGACTACTATGTAGCTTATTAGCTCAAAATATTTCACTATCTTGATCCTCTTCCGTAAGCCATTTGTTATGTTTCCTCTTCTTATTCCTTGCAGAGATTATTATATTCCCAAGCAATGAAAATATCAGAAATGCGTGATTCTGTAAACAAGAAACGCATAGAGCTGGAGTTTTTACGGAGATCAAAGACTTTGTCAACAATTCTTGAAGCTCAAGTAAGGCTTCCAATACTTCTGAATGCAACATTTATAAATTTGCATTCAAGTCCAGAGAGCAATGTTTCCAGTCTGTGAAGAAAATGCTATTGTTTGTTGACTTCTTGTGTTATCCATATATGCCCATGTTATGTTCCTTCCTACATAACCAACTCATCTAATATATATATGCATATATATATATATATATACATATATATATATATACATATATATATATATATATGTATATATATATATATATATATATATATATATATATATAGAAGTGGAATTAAGAGGAGGATACCTATTAATTCCATAATGATGCTTTATCAATTATCATTTTAATTTTATATGAACAGTAATATCTGTATCGGTAATTTGTATATTTCATTGGATAAAATTACAGATTCCATATCTAGATGAGTGGTCGACTATGATGGAAGAGTATTCGGTCTCTATTACTGAAGCAATTCAAGCTTTAGTGAATGCCTCAGTGCAACTTCCAGTTGGTGGGAATGTTAGGGTATGATTATTAATATCTGCATTCAGTGAATAATGTTATTTTCTTTCTGTGATGCTTATTCTCTGTGAATTCTCAGCAAAGTCAAACTCACAAAAATATATTATGCCACAGGTTGATGTAAGAGAGGTGGTGGATGCTCTGAATTCAGCATCGAGGATGATGGAAACAATGATTTCCAACATCCAAAGATTCGTGCCAAAGGTGAGACTAAATGATAGAATGGAGCTTTTTTTTTTTTTTTTTTCTAAATAAAACTTAGTTATGTAGCCAAAAGGGTACATCAGTGTCGTTAAAATTGGACTAGTAAGAACTTTAAATTGGTGAAGGTTCATTCACGGTTTATTGGTTCAATTGTGCTGGAACAGGTAATAATAAAATATATATTTAACTTTATATGATATACTAAGCAATAAATTTATATTAAGAAAATTAAGTGAAATCTTAAATTACATGTCTTACAAGATAGACAAATTTATTTGTAGTAGAAAATTAAAATAATAGCAAGCTATATATGCAGATATCATCAATTTTGTTAGTCTGTTTGAATACTCATCACATCAAATAGGATCCACGTCAAGGAATATACTATTTTTCCATATTTGATGTTAGCTTCTGATTATTTTTCCATATTTGATGTGATTTTTCACCTTGATTCACATATAAAACATTATCCGAACACTTACCTGTCTGGTTTTTCCATACGATTTGGTCCACTCTCAATAACTATTGAGTTCAAAAGATGAATTTTTCTAAAAAGTTCAGTTGCACTAATAATATAACTTTGTCAAACTCAGGCAGAAGAAATAGATATTTCTATTTCAGAACTAGCCAGGGTTGCTGGAGGGGAAAGGGCTCTTATTGGAGAATGTGGAGATTTATTGTCAAAGACATACAAGTCACAGGTTTGTCCTGCACCAGCATCTTTCCATTTTCCTTGTAGATAAATGGCTGAATTCGTCTACAGTCATATTTATGTATCTGTAGAGGACTGTTTATCTCCTGCAGTTTATTTCATATCTTGAAGCCAATTTTCAGGTGGAGGAGAGCAGCTTAAGGGGTCAACAAATCCAATTGCATTCAATTTGCCTTAAGAATAAGAACAAAGAATAACAACCAACCAACTGATAACACAATTAAAAGTTAGTTGTGGAAATACTTCACACATCCAATGTTGATAGTTGATAAAGGAGCATCAACAGTACAAGACCTGCGGATTCATATATCTTTCACATTCTTTTTCCATTTGTTGAGAAAAGGGGGAACCAAGGAACATGATCATATGAAATTTTTGTTTGAGTTGTTGTCTCAACTCTCAAGAAGTTCCACAACAATTGTATTAGCATTTTATTCTTATCAATGGTAAGTCTCAGGCTCTCAGGCTAGTCACACCATCCATCCCTTCCCCCATTTCACTCACTGGATGTCAATAATATAATAGGACACTTTGTCCTTGAATGAATGAAATGTTTGCCAGTTTTCTTTGAACGATAGTGTGGTGTGTATTTCCTTTTTCAGCTAAAACTACATTCATAGGATGATGACATGATGTTGGACAACCAGTAAAATCTTATTAGAATGTCTTATGTTATTAACACAATATTTGTATTCATAGCATTTTATAAAAATTAGATTATAAAACATATTTTGATCTAAAATCAAATGCCTATGATTTTAACGTACAGTAAATATATTTAAATCCCTACAACTAAATAAAATTCTAGAAAATAATGTTAATGCTATTAGTGTAAGATTGATATGAATGTGTAAGTAAATTGACTTTTTCTTAAATAGTATAACACAAATTTGTAAATTAGTTAATATTTTACAAAATTGTTATAAACTAATTTTTAAAAGGAAAAATCAAAATATATTGTATTATATTGAAATTGATTAATATATAAAACAAAAATAATTTATCTGAATTTTTATCATCAATTATTATGTTAAATAAATTGTGATGGATTGTTTTAAAACGTTCTATATATTAATAAAAACCCTTATTTTACTTTTTAATTTTTTTAAAACATATTTAAGGAAAAATGCATATTGAATTTGTTCAATATATTCATTGTTATTGCTCTATCAATTTTGGTCATAATATATACTAAATATGATGCTTATTAAATATATTATATCATTAAATTTAAAGAAATAAAAGCCTATATAGAGATAGATAGATGTTTTGTGTGTTAAAATATGCATTAAAAACCTATTTTAAAAGAGTTCGCTTGCAGAATATATTTCAATTATTATTTAATGATTTAGTTATAATATTTTAATAATATACAATTTATGTCGGATAAAAATATTATACAATTTATTTTATTTAAAAACATGTTTTTTAAACTTCTATCTTATTTTTTAATAAAATTTTGATTAAATAATAAAACTGTTGACTATATATGAAAAGATTATACATGTCTTTACATGTATAAATATTTTATCATTTACAATTTTTAGAATATGTTAATAACTTTGTTAATATATTTATATTCATAACTCTGAAAAGGGGTATTCCATTCGGATAATAAATTATTATTTTTATAAAAATTCTTACAGTATTTATTCAATATTTTTAAATACTAAAAATATATTATGATATTAAGACTGTCATTTATTAAAAACAAATATCAAGCATTATATTGAAAATTTTAATTTATTTTTATCTGTATTATCATTTATTTATTATTTTTTATTAATTATAGTTTTGTTTTAAACATATGTTCAATTTTTTGTAGAGATAATAAATAAAGAGTCAATATCTTTTTTTACATATAATTTGTGTTTCTTTCACTTTTGATATATATTAAAAAGTGTATAGATATTAAAAATTGATATAATTTATATTTTTTTAAACTATTTAATAATTTGTTATTATTGTTTAATTGTGATAAAATTTGACATAAATAATCAAACTAATTTATATAAAATATTTTCCGAACAACATTTGATAAAATTATATATTTATTTATTTGTTGTGATGTTCTCAATCCAAATTGGACTCTAATCAGCGTATACTGAAAATAAAATAAAAAAATACATGCTTTATTAGTCATTGTTTTGTGTTGTTTTGTTTCGAAGTAATCATAGAAGCTCTGCGGTTAGGGTTTTGAGTTCGTCTTGTTGTTGCTTTTGTTTCTGAAATCAAATCGGAATAGCGTGAGAAAGAAATGGCTTTGAAATTTTTGAACAAGAAAGGATGGCACACGGGGAGTTTGAGGAACATAGAGAACGTGTGGAAGGCGGAACAGAAGCACGAAGCGGAGCAGAAGAAGTTGGAGGAGCTTCGCAAACAGATCCAGGAGGAGAGAGAGCGCACCGAGTTTCGTCTTCTTCAGGAGAAAGCTGGCCTCGTTCCGTAATTTCTTCTTCCCCATTCAATTCAATTCCTATTTTTCGATTTTGTTAGGGTTTTCATTTTTTGAATTTCTGATTCCTGTTTGAGTGCAGGCACCAGGAGAGATTGGAATTTCTGTACGATTCCGGGTTGTCCGTTGGGAAATCTTCTAATTCCGAAGGATTCAAGGCCCTCGAACAGTTGCCGAAATCTGATGCAACGGATGCACCGGGCTCCTCTGCTTCTAAGGTGTGTTGTGAACTGACAATGTTTTTGTTTTTATTATGGGTAGGGTTTTTGTTTGCTGTGAATTGGTTTACCTATGATTGAATGGTTCTTTTGCTGCAGGAGGGGGCAAATGTACCTGGGGCATTGTTTGAGGAGAAGCCTCAGTCTGCAAATGATGCTTGGAGGAAGCTCCATTCTGACCCCTTGCTCATGATCCGCCAACGTGAGCAGGAGGAGCTTGCAAAGATAAAAAACAACCCTGTTAAGATGGCTATGATCAAGAAATCGGTAAGCCTTTTTCTTCATTTTTTATGAGAAAATGAAAATGCCATTGCTAAGAATTAACGAGTTCAGGTTTAGATTATGCTTCCATGTCATTCCCGTGCTTATGCTTTAAACATGCCAGTTTTTTGTTTTACAAAGTGTTTGTTTCAAAGGAACTGAGGAGAGGGAAGGAAAATAAAACCCCTTCAATATTAAAGGGAGGTATAAGTTGCAGAGATGGATTTTTGCCTCCTAATTTTCTCTTGCCATGCACTCTGAACTTCTAAACAAACACCAGGAGAGTATGTTGATTTTAAAAATTTCACTCCCATCTAAGGATCCGCAAACCCTCACCCTTTGAGAACTATGTGCAGGTTTACGTTGAAATCCATGGGTTTAGGGTTTTTTTTTTTTTAAACATAAGTTCAAAACATAACTTTAAATACATGACATTTAAATAAAATTAATTCCTATAACATAAATTTAAAACATTAATATAAAAACTAAAAACAAGTTAACTACATGGTAAAACAAAATTAGAAAATATTCAAGTTATATTTTCTTCAGAAACCTCACATTGACCAGTTTTAATTTTGAAGAGCCTGAAAGAGAAAATATGTTCATTAAAATTATTTTATTAATTCAATTTTTTGATGTAAAAGATTAATTGAATTGCCTCAATATAAGAGTATTTAAGTAATTTTTGGGGGTGCAAGTATCTTGATATCCGCCCCCGTCTGTCTAATATGCGGGTAAAGAAAAATGTGTATACACCTGGTGGTGGATACCTGCTTAATAAACCTGTTAAATACCCATTGTTGGGTTTATCCATTGGTGTGGTGTAGATATTTCTCCCATCTCTACCCATCTAGCCAAAAACTATTATATGTTAATTTTAATAATTCCACTCCCACCTAGTCTGAATCGCATAGTAAGTAATAGGCTTTCAGAAACAATAGGAAGTATCACTTGATCCATTTTCAATAATTTAATAATGCTTGGATTTAGGGGAAAATACATCGGTTATTGACCATCCATTAATTACAATAATCCATCTAAAATCCTTTTACAACCACCCCCCTCCCCTAATTTTCTTGGATCAGATTTAAGTATGATTGGATTGTGAATGATGGATTACTTTGCACCCTTGTGTGCAAACCTGTGCCAATAGCAGACACGTAAGTGTCCATGCAATTTGAGGTTGCTGCTCTTTCTCGTGGTGACTTTTACTTCTGTCTGATATGGTGTATAATTCTATAGAATTGAGAATCGTATTGTTTTTTGCAAACTCGTATGTTGGCCCTTTATTTTTATTTTTCTTCTCTAATTAGCTGTTTGCATTTGAATTTTGAAGAATCTTTAAATTGCATTGCCATAGTAGGATGATAAAAACATTTGTTACCGTTTACTTTCAGTAAGACCTTCTGTTTGATATTGTGTCTAATTTAGGGCCCGTCCTAATAATGCCTTGTAATGTTGTTAGATTGAAGGAACTGAACACAATGAGAAAGCGCATAAAAAGGAAAAGAAGAGGAAGCACCGCTCTAGTAAATCCCAGCATAAAAAACAGTCTGATTCAGAAGATGACCTTACTGAAGGGAGGAAAAGAAAGACTGATAATGGAGATATTGACAGGAAGCATAATAAGGCTCAATCTGATTCAGGGTATGAATCAGGTGAAGGGGAAAATAGAAGGAAGAATCAAGACAAAAAATACAGGGAAAGATCACCCAACCACCAACAAAGACAGAGAAATGACAAAGACTTCAAAGAAGATGCTGATGACAGAAATTATAGCAGGTCCAAGTCAGAAAGGAGTGTCCATAACGCCCAATCAAATCCAGCGTATGAATCAAGTGAAGGAGAAAAGAGAAGGAGGAATCATTATGAAGATAGAAAATACAGAGAAAGATCACCCAGTCACCAACAGAGACAAAGAAATGCGAAAGACTATAAAGAAGATGCCGGTGACAGAAATTATAACAGGTCTAAGTCAGAAAGATATGCTTCAGAAGGTCAGTCCAATATTGATGCCACTAAAAGCGGAACTGGGCGATTTTCTGAAACTAGCTCCAATAGATATTCTGCTTCTTCACACGAATTTGGATATAAGCGCAGAAACGGGGCTCCTAAGCTTTCAGAAGAAGAGCGGGCTGCTAAACTTAGGCAGATGCAATTGGCTGCGGAGGTGCATGAAGAGCAGAGATGGAAACGTATAAAGAAGGCTGAGGAGTCTGATGCACGTGAAGCAGTGCAGAATAATAATGCAGGTGGCAAGAAT